TAAAGAATGTCAGATTAGATAAAAAAGCAAGACCCAATAATATGCTATCTATAAGAAATCCACTTCAAATGTAAAGAAATATATAGTTTAAAAGTAAAGGGAAGAACTTCTGGTTTCCAGTCTGACATGTAAAGAGCTTGGAAGATGTCACTCTCATCTTTACAACAACAACAAAAAGCTGAACTAACTGAAGACCAGTAATTCTTCTTAGGTCCAACAGAGAATCGAGGTCACATCACAAACCACCACCCAGAAAACTGAAGAGACAGGTGAACACACAGAATCATACCTTAAAAGGAGCAGAAACTACCACTGGAGTCAGCAACTGGTAGGAAAAACTTAAAGAATAACTGACAAATTACTAATTGACTAATTGCTGGAGACTGAGTGCAGAGTAGCTTGAGAGAGAAAAACTCCTGGAAGCCCAGCCTTAGAGAGAGCTCCACATTTTCATGAATTTTACCTCTCGGAGCCCCACCTACTCCAGCCTCCTCTAGCCTTCCTATCTCAACTTAGGGAAGAAGAAAAGGTGAGAAGCATTTATAAAGGTCACAACCATAGACACTGGCCCCCGAAAAGACTGAAATCTAGTCACAGGATTACAGAACACTTCTATTCCCACCATATCAACAGGGCTTCCATATAACATCAGGAGGTTACAATTGAAAGAATTTAAGCTTAGGCTCCGTTTAAGGAGTTTCTAGGGAAATCTAAAGATAATTAGGAGACAAAAACAAGGACACTAAAGGAATTTTAGCCTCTGAATCTTAGCCCTTACCTACCAGACACAAAATCAGTAAGGATATGGTTGAATTGAATAGCACCATCAATCAGCTGGATCAAATTGACATTTATAGATTACTTCATCCAATAACAGCAGAATACACAAGCTTCTCAAGAATACACAATTCTTGGGGCCTGGCCCAGTGGCATAGTGGTTAAGTTGGTGCACTCCGCTTCAGCGGCCTGTGGTTCACCAGTTCGGATACCAGGCGCAAACCCATGCATCACTTATCAAGCCATGCTGTGGCAGGCATCCCACTTATAAAAAGGAGGAAGACGGGCACAGATGTTGGCTCAGGGCCAATCTTCCTCAGCAAAAAGAGGACGATTGAGGCAGATGTTAGCTCAGGGCTAATCTTCCTCAAAAAAAAAAAAGAATACACAATTCTTCTCAAGCTTATGTGTAACATTCACCAAGATGGACCACCTTCTGTACCATAAAACATACATAAAAAAATACAAAAGAATAGAAATCATACAAAATATGCTCTCAGACCACAATAGAATTAAACTTGAAATCAGTAATAGAAAGATAACCGGAAAATCTCAAAATATGTGGAGATTAAATAACATATGAATCAAGAAAGAAGTATCAAAAGAAATTTTAAAATATTTGGGGGCCAGCCCCGGTGGCCTATTGATTAAGTTTAGCCCATTCCACTTCAGCAGCCCAGCTTCTGTTCCGGAATGCAGACCTACACCACTCGTCTGTCAATGGCCATGCTGTCGTGGCAGCTTACATACAAAAAGAGGAAGATTGGCAACAGACATTAGCTCAGGGCTAATCTTCCTTAGCCAAAAAAAGAAAAAATATTTGAAATTGAATGAAAATGAAAATACAAATTATCAAAAATTGTAGATTGCAGCAAAAGCAGTGCTTAGAGAGAAATTCACAGCACTGAGTATATATATTAGAAAAGAAGAGAGATCTAAAATTAATAATCTAAGCTTTCACCTTAGAAAACTAGAAAAAGAAGAGCAAATTAAATCCAAAATAAGCAGAAGAAAAGAAGCAATAATAATCAGAGCAGAAATCAATGAAACTGAAAACAGGAAACTAACAGAGAAAAACCACTGAAATCACAAGCTGGTTCTTTGAAAAGGTCAATAAAATCAATAAACCTCTACCTAGACTAACCAAGAAAAAAAGAGAGAAGACACAAATTACTAATATCAGAGATGAAAGAGGAGCCATCACTATTGATCCTATGGAAAATAAAAAGAACAACAAAGGAGTATTATAAACAAGTCTATGCCCACAAATTTGATAACCTAAATAAATGGACCAATTCCTTGAAAGACACAATCTACCAAAACTCACATAAGGGGAACTAGATAATCTTAATAGGCCTATATCTATTATAGAAATTGAATCAAAAATTAATAACCTTCCAAAAGAAATCACCAGGCCTAGATGGTTTCACTAGCGACTTCTATCAAACATTTAAGGAAGAAATAATACCAATTCTCTACAATCCCTTCCAGAAAATAGAAACCGAGGGAATACTTCCTAACTCATGCTGTAAGAGCAGCATTACCCTAATACCAAAACCAGACAAAGACTTTGCAAGAAAGAAAACTTAAAGAACAATATCTCTCATGAACACAGGTGCAAAAATCCTCAAGAAAATATTAACAAATAGAACCCTTTTATTAAAAAGAATTATACACCACAATCAAGTGTGATTTATTCCAGGCATGCAAAACTGGTCCAACATTCTAAAAATCAATTAATGTAATCCATCACATCAACAGGCTAAAGGAAAAAAAGCATATGATCGTTATCAACAGATGCAGAGAAAGCATTTGACAAAATCTAATGCCCATTCAACATAAAATCTATTGGGAACGTCCTCAACTTTACGTATCTACAAAAAAACAACAGCTAACATCATACTTCATGGTGAGAAACTAGAAGCTTTCCCACTAAGATCAGGAATAAGACAAGAATGTCCCTTCTCATCACTCCTATGCAACACCATACTGGAAGTCCTAGCTAATGGAGTAAGAGAAGAAAAGGAAATTAAAAGTACAGATTGGTTAAAAAAAATAAAAACAATAGAACCCACTCCTAAGTATTTATACAAGAAAAATGAAAACAAATGTCCACACAACTTGTATATGAATGTTTACAGCAGCTTTACCCATAATCACCAAATATTGGAAGCAACCTTATCTTAGTTAACTATTGCTGCAAAGCAAATTACCCCAAAACTTAAGAACTTAAAACACCAAACATGCATTATTGCACAATTTCTATGGGATAGGAATTTGAAAGCAGCTCGGTTAGGCAGTATGGCTCAAGGACTCTCATGAGTTTACAGTCAAGTCATCTGAATGAATTGTCTGAAAGCCTGACTGGAGCTGGAGGATCCATTCTCAGATGACTTGCTCATATGACTGTTGACAAGAGGTCTCAGTTCCTCATTGGCTATTTTCAGGAGGCCATGGTTCCTTGCCACACCAACCTCTCCACAGGACCCCTTGTTTCCTCACAAAATGGCAACTGGCTTCCCCCAGAGTGAGTGATCCAAATAAGGGCAAGGCAGAGCCACAACGTCTTTTATGATCTCGTCTCAGGAAGGGCAAGGCAGAGCCACAACGTCTTTTATGATCTCGTCTCAGGAAGACACACACCACTACTTCTGCCATATTCTAGTGGTCCCAGAGACCAACCCTGACACAATGTGGGAGGGGTCAACAGAAGGGCATGAATACCAAAAGACAAGGATAACTGGAATCATTCTGGAAGCTAGCTACCACAAACCTAAATGTCCATTAACTGGTGAATAAACAAACTGTGGTACATCCATACAGTGGAATAGTAATCAGCAATAAAAAGGAACGAACTACTGACACATGTAACAGCAGGGAAAAATCACAAATGCATTATGGTAACTGAAAGAAGACAAATCCAAAAAGCTACACGGAGTGATTAGATTTATATGGCATTCTGGGAAAGGCAAAACCAAAGGGACACATAACAGAGCAGAGGTTGTCAGGGGCTTGAGGGGGGCAGAAGACTGACTACAAAGGGACAGGAGGGAATTTCTTTGGATGGTGGAAATATTCTGCATTTGATTGTGATGGTGCTTACATGATTGTTAAGTGTTTGTTAAAATTCACAGAACTATACACCTAAAAAGGGTGAGTTTTATTGTAAGTAAATGATACCTCAATAAATTACTCATAAAAAGAGAGAGAAAGGAATCTTAAGGGGAAACAGAAGAATCTTGGTTGGGAAGAGGGCTTATGCGTAAATAATAGAAGTCTCTGAAGGAAAAGCAACTACTGAACCAATAACATTATAATTAAAGTTCCTCAAGCTAAAAAACTTTCTCAGAGATTGAGTCTACAGACTGAAAACGCCCATCAAATTATAGGTTAGACAAATGAGAAAAGATACGTAAGTATCCTGGCATATCCTGGCTTGAGCTCTAAGAATAGACAGCAAAAGCTTAAATGCTTCCAGAAAGAAAGAAAGTCACTTAGAAAAAAAGAGAGACTTTTTTTTTTTTAAAAGATTGGCCCTGAGCTAACATCTGCTGCCTATTTCTTTTTTTTCCTTCTTCTTCTCCTCCCCAAAGCCCCCCAGTACATAGTTGTATATTCTAGTTGTAGGTCCTTCTCGTTGTGCTGTGTGGGACACGACTTCAGCATGGCTTAATAAGCCGCGCTAGGTCCGTGTCCAGGATCCGAATTGGGAAACTCTGGGCCACCAAAGCAGAGTGTGAAAACTTAACCACTCAGCGAAGGGGCTGGCCCCAAGAGGGACTTTCACAGGGCTTCTTCTTTGCAACATGACAAAAAGGAAATGATGAAATAGCATCGACAAATTTTTGAGAGAAAAGGACTGCCACCTAAGTATTCTATCCCAACCAAAAGTAAAATAAAGTCATTTGGGGATATATAATCACTAAAAAATGTTATCACCCACTCATCCCATCTACAGAAATAGCCAACAAAAAAATGTTAACCAAATAACTGAATCAGAGCAGAGATAGAGGAGGATAAAGAGGAGACCTTATGACGTACGCGGTTAAACTGAAGTAGATATTAGTAAAGTAATTGGGAAGAGAAATACAACAAATGAAAACTCAACTAAATGTATTTTAGAATTAAAATAAAGTGTTGAAACAACAAAAATATTAAAGTTCGTCCAATGTACAAGGAAACTGTAAGTAGTTAATACAAACAGCTTTTTTGTCTTGTTTTACCTGGTTTGCAAGATGAGAGTGACCAAACAGCTTGTGACCCAATTTCCCGTACTGTTCCAGTCCTTTCCAACTGCTTAGGGTCAGCACCAGGAGGTGTCTTGTTTGGTGTGGTCATTTTAAAAATGTTCTATGTAGAAAAAAAGAATATCCACATTATACCAGGATCTGAGCATCCTTCTACAAAAGGTAAAACTAAAAATTTAATAGCAAAGTGGATCACTAGTATGCCTTTGATATTAATCATTTATTTCTCAAATGCAGTCAACCTAACTCAATCATTGCAATTTAAAAATCTTGGGAATTCAGTTTTTGTTTCTAAAATATATTATGACGTACATGTCATGCAAAGCAGCAGAGTATAGTAGTTGAAGGATACAAGATTGGGGTGCTAGCTTCAGCCTCTTCTTTAGCCTAGACTTTGGGCAGGTGTGGGATTTATTTCCTTTCCTGTCAAAGGGGCTGAGTTGATCTATAATTCTAGAAGGCTATGAAGTTCTATACCTCCATGAGTAAAAATTCTGAATTCAAATTAAGTTTTTCCCTAGAAAAGTCAGATTGAAATACTCTTATTCCAGGAATATGTAACTACTGGTCTCACTTTAAATAAGCCATTAAGTGATGCAGAGAAAGAAATCACATCTCCCCACTAGTTGTCGAAAGTTCCATTTATATGTGCTCTGACCATAGAAGATAAAGTCAGAAAATTGGCTTCAAGGTCTGGAAGTGAGTAACTGGCCTATTCTAAAGCAAAGGTTACTTCATCTTTCACATCTCATTAGTTAATCTGGGTAAGTCCAAGCAAACGTGAAAAAAGATACCTCTTGGATAGTAAACAGCATGTAAAAACTGCTTCAGTAGTGTAAAGTTACAGCTAACTGAACATCGTTATACATGCTACTATAAACCTGGCCCAATAGTTCTGTATACCATCTCCTCGACACCTACTATTAGATCTCAATTGTTCCCTAATCTCCACACAAGCACTTGATATCCATTAAATAAGAACAGAGCCACTGGCCTGTAAACTTCAGAAAGGCCTGAGACCTAAAGTGTCCAGTTACAATTTACGAAATGGATGAGCGAATAGGTTCAGTCATAAACTCAAGTATTCGCGACCTGCAAGTTAAGTAAGGTCTAGAGTAAGACAATTAAACCTGGGACAATCATTACAAGCTGAATGACCTGTCATTGTCAAATGTCCAAAAATGTCAAACTGTCCAAAAAAAAAAGGCCCATCTCTACACTGGAGCAGAACTCAACTGCCAGACCTGGTACTGGACGCCACCAAGTGGATAAAACACCGAACTCGGAGAAGACTAGGCTCCTGGCCACACAATTCAAAAGGAGCTAAGAAGAGGAAAACCACAGCGAGCAGGGTCTGAACCAGACTCTGTGGGTCCTGCTTGACACCTCTGCTAGATGTGCTAGAACGGGCAATGGCTAACTCCACTCCTGACCCACAGGCCTTGAGGAGATCGGGAGCGGAAAAGGAGACTGAGATTGGGGAAGAGAACGCATCTGCTTACGCTAGAACCATTCTCCACGTCGGGAAAGAGCCCAGGAACTTACAGCTTGCAGACCCGGTTCGCCTCAACTCAGGTTTTTGGGATCCCCTGCAGCTCAGCGCCACTCCCACTCAGCGTCTCAGGACAGCCTGGCCTCCCGAACGACGTTTGGAGTCGCAGCACAATGACGTCAGCTCTCGCCGTCTCGCCTTACCTACCTCCAGGGCTCCGCCCGCCGCGCTCTGTCGCGCGTGCGCACTACGTCCCTATGGCATGCGCGAGGCGGTGGCTGGGTACCGCCATTTTGGCCGGCGGCCGTAGGAACACGCTGTGTGACTGAGAAGTGAAAGCAAGAGCTGATTTGGTCTCTACGCTCCCCTCCGCGAGGGGATCGTTTTCTCCAGGTACGTGAATAGCCCGGAGGTATTTGGCTGGTAGCTGTGGTCTGCCACGTTTTAAACACTGTAGGGACGTTGTCCGACAGCGTTTAGTTAGGCCTCAGGTGGCGGCGGCGGAGGCGGCAGCGGCGCGTGGCAGCCGGCTCGGGCGGGACAGCTGGAACCGCCTGATCGCGGGCGCCGCCGAGAGCTTCAGACACCTCGCGCTTCCCCTCCAGCTGACCTGGCTCTTGGCCGCTGTTGCCCGCTATCCTCGCTAAGGGCTACGAGAATGGACCTAAGTGCCATCTCCTCAGCGATCCAACCTCCGCCGCCTCCACTCCTCCTTTACCCCGCTCCTACCCTAGAGCTGAACCTTCTCGAGAGGGAGGCACATTCAGAACTAAACAGCATCCCCTACACCCCTGCCCTTCCCCTGGCACAGTAAATGGATATATTGTCACATGTGTGTATTTGATTATGGAAAGTCGTGGCCTGTTCTTCCACCGTTTGGTGATTATGGAATGAGTCACGGCATCTTGCCGCCATGGACTCGAATACTCCGTGTCCACTCCCAGTTTTCATAGAAATGATCGCCAGACGTCGCTCTGCTGTCCCCCTAGAGTGACATGTCCTCAGCTATAACTGGAGTTATCCCAAGACATCTGCCAGTTGAACGCCTTTAGCTTTTTTGGTGTGCTTTTATAGCACTTAGCATTTTTCTCCTTAGTGATTTATCCGTTTTCGTCTTTATTAGGTCTTAAACTCCTTGAGATCAAGTGTGGTGTCTTTACTCAAAATACCTTTATTTTCTCGTGAGTAGTTCCTTCGTTGTAGGCACGATGGCCAAAGCCGATTCCCACATCCCATAAAGTACATAGGCCTGTCTTCTCTTTTTTTCTGTAGTGAAGTCGGTAAGACTGAGAAATAACTGTTAAAATAATGGGTTTTTTTGGTTTTTCTTTTAACCCTCTCTTCCATAGGACTACCAAGTAGGCATTTATGATAGTGGCGTTTGTGCTGCAGTCTTCAGTGCATCTGTTCCATATACTGAGAATATTCATTCTCTACCAGCTACCTGACAGTAATGCTTTGTCAGTGTTAACCAAGGGCTCTTATCTGTATTTGAACCAAAAGGGTTTGTGGGGGGGGGGGGGGAGGGGGGAGTTAAAAACCTTGTTCTCCCTGGAAAAAAATTTTTAGGAAGAACATTTAGGGGGAGATAAAGAAAGCAATATTAATTTAGTGTCCCTTCTAAATTAAAATTCTGAAATAAGAGTTGTGCACCACTCCCGACTTACGTGTTTTATTAGACTAATAATCTACAGTAAGTATAGGTTAGAATGTTTCACATGATATCAAGCATCATTTGTTAACAGCAGTCCTTTAAAAGCTTTGACACAGCATTATAATAATTTGGGTCATAGACTGCAAATGCTTTCCCTGTATGCCTCACTTCCTTTTTTCCTCCCAGCTGGAAGAATGACAGTGAGGGTCATTGTTTGAGTACCTATTTTGAACACAGTTTGTTTGCAAATTTGAAATACATTTAAAACCGTCTTTGTTCTCAGGAGTCTGTTACTATACTCTTCCCTTCCAAGCTTTACTGTGGTGTATCCTTCTTGAAAAAGAAAGTGGGATCCCCCTTCCCCAATTCTTGAAACTAATGTAGAAATTTAATTAATAGTGTTTACACAGTTAATTCACAGTTCTACAAAGAATCTATATTCATTTTCCCTAAATGTATTATAATTTATCACTGTTTTTTATGTAAATCAGCTTATTAGCCATTTCTGGTATGTTTTTATTCTTCTGTAAAAATTTTCTTGTTACAGTCACTTGGTTTTTAAAATGGTTTGAAATGTTAGATGAAACATTTTATAGTTTGGGAGAAATAAGGTTTAATTTAAGCAGTTTCATGATAAAAGATATGTCCTGTCAAGGAGAATTCATTATACTCATTCACCAGGTAATTTGTATGATCACCAGTTTTATTTTAATAGCTAACTAAAGAATGTTCAGTTTTTAGGGAGTTGTCACTTTCAGAGTGATAGCTTTTTTGTAGCAATTCAAAAGTCATTTAATTTCTTCCTGTTCTAATCTTTATGAGGCCTAGACTAGTTTTGAGAGGTTTTAAAGGGGTAATGTGAACCTCTTAGTTAGCATAACTGTTTATAGCATAAATATTTAGTCTCCTTTTGGGTGATTTTTTTTTTTCAATATATGCTTTAGTGGGTAACAGTCACAATAAAATATTGGTAACTTGCAAGATTTCTGAAGTTATAACCTATAGGAAAATTATTTACTTTATTTAAATTCATTTTCTCATTCATTCATTAGAAATGTTTGAGCTCCTACTATGTGCTAGGCACTGGTCCAGCTACTGGGATAAATAAACAGACAAAAATCTCTACCCTCATGGGGCCGGTCCACTGGCATAGTGGTTGAGTTCGTTTGCTCGGCTTCAGCAGCCCAGGGTTTGCAGTTTCGGATCCCAGGTGCGGACCTAGCACTGCTTGTCAAGCCACACTGTGGCAGCATCCCACATAAAATAGAGGAAGATCAGCACTTATGGCCAGTCTTCCTCACACACACAAAAAAATCTCTACCCTCATGATGGAATACATTCTACTTGGGGAGGGAAAAATATTGTCTGTGTACGTAGAGAAAAAGAGAATATATGATACATATATATACACACACAGGATAAGTGTGTCCATACACCATATATATACATATATGTATATGAAATATACCGTACATATGTATGACGTAGTATGTGTACTATGTATATACTATATATACATATATATGAAATATATACTCTGTCACATAGTAGAGGGACAGAAAGGCAGTTGGGTATGTTTTTTGGTTATATAGTTAGAAAAAGCTCACTGAGAAATAAACATTAAAGACTTGAGGGAGTGAGCCATTTAACTCACAAGTGGAAATAGCATTATAGGCAGAGGGAACAGAAAATGCCAAGATCCTGAAGCAGGAGCGTGTCTGGCGTGTGCTAAGAATTAGCATTATAGGCAGAGGGAACAGAAAATGCCAAGATCCTGAAGCAGGAGCGTGTCTCGCATGTGCTAAGAACAGCAAGGAACCGTTGTGGCTGGAGCAGAATGAACAAGAGCTAGAGTAGTTGGAGATGAGATCAGGAAGTTAACAGAGGTTGATCAGTGCCTCATTGGTTATTTTAAGGACTTCAGCTTTTACTCAGAGTGAGTAGGGAAGCCATTGCAGGATTTTCAGTAGAGGAGTGCCATGATCTGCTTTACACTTTAAAAGGATCATTCTGATTCCTATATTGAGAATGAACTGTGAAGAGTTGGAATAGAAGGAGGTAAGAGTAGAAGCAAAGAGAGAGATTAGGAAGCTATTAGAGTAATGCTGATAAGAAATAATAATGGCTTAGACCAGAGTCATGAGAAGTCAGATTCTGGATGTATTTTGAAGGTAAATTTGACAGAATTTGCTGTTGTGGCGTGTGAAAAATAACTTCAAGGATTTTGAGTAAATGGAAGACTGAAGTGGTCATTTAACAGAATGAACAAGGCTGCTAGAAAAGCAAATTTGGGTGGGGATTTTAGGAGCTCAGTTTGGCAAATGCATATTAGACCTTTAAAAAAAGACGTTAGGTGGGTGGGTAGATAGATATACAAGTTTAGAGTTAGAAGAGGTGTCCTGACTAGAGATAGAAATTTGAGAGCTGGCAGCATATAAATAGGATTTAAAGCCATGAGACTAGTATAGAATACCTTACAGAATGAGGATGGATAGAAAATATGACCAAGTATTAGAGCACTGTCAAGTTTTAGGAACCTAGGACATGAGGAGTGACCAGGAAAGTAGAAGGAAAAGCATTATTAGTGCTGTATACCAGAACCAAATTAAGGAAGGGTTTCTATCTAGTAGGAAAAAGTTGTAGTTTGTGTCAGACGTAATAGGTTAGATAATAGGGTAAATTAAGGACTGATAATTATAACCATTTGTTTTAGCCAGATAAAGAACAGTTATGGCCTGACTAGCTGTTTTGATGGAATGATGGGCACTAAAGCCTGGAATGGATTACAGAGAAATTTGAAACACTGACTACAGGCAACTCTTTCAGATAGTCTTGGCTATTAGCAGAAGGAGAAATAAAGCAGTGGCGGAAGATGGGGTCAGATAACAGAATGTTTGAATGCTGATGGGAGTAACCCAGTGGAGAGAATGATGGTGTGAAAGACAAAAGAGAGAATTATTGGAACATTCTCCTTAGCAGATGCCTTTTAGTGTGCAAATGGACTTAGCTATGGAAATACATATAGTGTGATTGCTGGTTGGCATAAGGGTTCACTTGAGATGACACTAGTCTACATGGCTTTGTTTTTTTTCTCTACCCATTTTCAGCTGTATGTGTGCAGGTGAAGAATTGTGTTTTACCAGGGTTGTAGTTAAGGGCGTAAATGATTGACAATGGAATTTGAGCTGGATATGGAGGGAAATGAAGATACTAAGCGCTGAGGGACAGTGGAAATGTGGTAGAATCAAGAGATAGTGATAGTAGATCTGGGGAGTGGGAGAGTTCAAAGAGTTGTTGGATTGTTGTGTACCAGAGTGGTGAGCTGAAAAGATAGGAGTAGTGGTTGGAGAATGGGGTATTTGAAATAGAGTTTATGGAAAGATTGCAGTTATTGGTAATGATGAAGTCAAGGATTTCTCCCAAGGAATGGGTGGCTCAGGTAGGGTGAAAGACCAAGATCGTTGGAGGAGAGAGGTTCATGAACCAAGAGGACAGGCTATTGGTGGAAGGATCATCTATGATTTTCAACATGTTGAAATCACCAAGAATTATGACAGGAGTTGTAAAAGAGAGAATGAAAGTTAGTCAAGGGCTGAAATCTTCAAAGAATGGGAGGGAGTGATATAATGGTGAGTAATGACTAAAGCAGTTGGATGATCTGAGAGGCAAAAAGCTGACTGTTTTTAGTGAGGAGAGAGACAGAATAATAGTCTGGGAGCAGCATTGAGGAGCAAGATCTCTTAGCTCCCTCCAAGCCTAATGATATTGAGGGGTGTGAGAAAGGGTTGAGAGTTCTACAAGGAGAGAATCAGTCTGTCAAAGAAAAATCAGGATTCAGGATCGTAGTCATTGATAGAAAAAGCCAGCAGAATGTCTTTGTTGATGGATAGTCTTTTGACTTCAGGGTGTTTCATTACATATTGGAATAAACCGAAGTATTAAGGCACTTTTTAGAATTATTTACTTTAATCACCATCCTAAGAATATTAATGTCTGTCACTAAGCCCTATATTGTGAAAGATTTTTAAGTTCACTTTGACCTTAGCTGTGTAATTGATGGCACAATATCAAGACATAAAAGCTTTAAAAGTGAGCACAGTCTATAGCTAGAGTTACTTGGTCTCCTTTTCATTTCAGTGCTGTTAGCATAAAATTCATTTTGGCTGTATTACAAATTCCCAGAAAAGTGAAGTTTTCACTTTTTCTAGTTGATCGACATGACAACCATAACCTTAATAATTTTTGGCCATTTGTATCAGTAGTGTCATAGTCGGATGGGTAAGACATGAAGTAGTGCTTAGTTCGTGGGAAGGAATAAACATCTTTATCTTAGGTATTAGTTTTCATGTCAGGTCTTTCTATTCTGTCTTTTGGTCTGTATTCATACACTGGTATCAGTATTAATTACTGAGGCCTTATATCGTTTTTTTCCATCTCTCAAGTCTAGGTTCCCACGTCCCCGTTGCTCATTTTCAGTTTTCTTAGCTATTACTACTTCCTTTCTTTTTACGTAAGAGCTTTAGACTTGGTTTGTCTGGTTTATTTCTTTCCCCTTGAGATTGGGTTAAGTGTATAACCTCAGGGAAGATTGAGGTCTCTGATATTGACTATTCTCTATTGTAAAAACTGAGACAACATGTTGTTCTGTTTGTTCAGGTCTCATATGTCTTTCAGTGGTATTTTGAAAGTTTCCTCAAATGTGCCTATATCTTGTTAAGTTGATTCCTAGATCTTTTCTTTTTTGTGACTTTTGAAAAGAATGTTTTTTTCTTTCTTTATAAAAGTCTTCTGATGAATGGTGTATCTGTAAAATTCTGTTTTCCCAACCTTACTAAATTATTTTATTGCTTTTGCTAGGTTTTTTTTTCCTATTTTCAGATAATCATATCTGAATGTAGTGATAATTTATGTCCTCCTAACTTTATTTCTCTTAATTAATTGCATTGACTGTGCCATAATTTTGTTAATTTTCTTTAATAGGAGAGCTGGATATTCTTACTTCTTTAGAATTATGGCAGATAAATTGACGAGAATTGCTATTGTCAACCATGACAAGTGTAAACCTAAGAAGTGTCGGCAGGAGTGCAAAAAGAGTTGCCCTGTGGTTCGAATGGGTAAGCTATTCTTTGGATCATTTAAGAACAGAGGTTTCAGAAGAAATAAATTGGCTTCATAGTTCTCCAGGTTTTAGCATATACTTTTTTTCCCCATTAGTTTCTTTAAAATATAAAGATAAGACCACATTTTTTTCTAAATTTCTCTTGTTGCCTTATGATTAAATGATCCTATTTTTTTAAACTGTATTGTTTAATATATTTTAAAGTTGACTAAATCTAAAATCAAACCAGAGTTCAGGTTACTGAGATTCTTACTGTTCTGCAAAATCCTGTAATTACTTTAAATCATCGAGAGAAGGCTGCCAATATGTTTGTATTTGATAGTATTCTCATTTTAAAAAACAAGAAAGAAGAGCTTAATAAGAATGACAATTCATAAGGATTTGCTGTGTTTTCAAGATTAAATTTACAATTCATTCTTTGTAAGGGCTGTGTTAGTCTTTAAGGGCTGTGTTAAAGTAATTGTTACTTTAATGTACTCGGGAGGTGTAAGTTTATTGAATTGTAAGAGAAACTTTAGATGTCATCTGTTATAGTCTACCATGCTATTCAGAAATTCCATTATTAATATTCTTAATGCCAAGTTTAATTTTGTCTGTTTATTAGATGGCTACATTCCTTTCTGGAGCTTCACTGCTTTAGCTAACATATTTTATTCCTTTCTCTGATGTACATTACCACTTTCAAGGCATATTTTGTGAATTAAATATTCAGGTCAGTCAGCTTAAAAATAAAACTTATAGGATCTGCTATATTTTCACTAGCATATTTTCTTTTCCAGTAGTAAATTAAAATAAGCATATTGGAGTCATCTCTCTCTTGCCTGACAAGAGTATTCATACAAGTAATAAATTCAGAAATCTATCCCCACAAAACACTGATTTAAGACATTATCTCAAATGTATTTCTTTGTGTGGCCTTTGTTTTTGAAAATCTGCTTCTGTATGAAAATTTTGAACCAGAATTGCCTAAATAACAATGTTCAGAAAATTAGAATGTCAAGAAAAATGACTTAATTCTGTCTTTTCCTTTGCCAGGAAAATTATGCATAGAGGTTACACCCCAGAGCAAAATAGCATGGATTTCTGAAACTCTTTGCATTGGTTGTGGTATTTGTATTAAGGTAAATGCTTATTTTATTTATTGGATCGAATTTCTAACATGGAGATGAAATCTCAAAACTCTGAATACATTATAACTATTTTTTAAGGGGCAAAATATAAAACAATAGGAAAATGGTGTTCTTATATCAATAATCTAATATTCTTGCTCTTTTAATTAGTTAAACCACCTTATTTAAAAGTTATCCTTGCCATACTCGACTTTGTAAAGCCATTTCCAACCGAAATTAATTTCTTTTTTTTCACCCTTTTATGAGGGCATTCTCCAGCATGTCTTTACCAGAACTTTTTAGAAATATAAGTACAAAAAATATGAGTCATATTACATGCATTTTTGGTCTGTATTTAATTTTAAATTGCACCTTTTAAATAGAAATGCACACAGCCAAAAATTTTTTGATTTAGCCTAATCCTTAAGTGCTGCTTCTGCTCTATTATACGTGCTTCTATGTTGGATTTAACCCAATAGTGTAATTTTTCAAAATACGTCAGTTTTTGTTGCAGTGAAGAGTTTGATTTGGGCTTTTGACTTAAGAATGATGGATTTCCAACTTTATTTCATAAAAGATATTTAAGAGCCAGTGCATAAAGTTCTTAATTAAGATATTTTTATTTGTAGATAATGCATTTTAGAGAGGAACTTTACCAGAATAGGGATACCACCCTGTTATTTATTCTAAAAAGGCTTATGTGTATTTTACATTGGTTTCTGAGTCCTCGGTGAAGTTTCTGAATCCTCGGTTAAGTGTCCGGAAAAATTTCATTGGTACCTGAAAGTGTTTCCCTTGTTTTGAAAATATAAGCAGGAGACATTCCTTCTTATTAGTAAATAAGAGATTTACTAATCTCTTATTATGTACCTGGCAATGTTCTGGGTGCTGGAAATCTGATTTTGAACAGTATGTTATCTATTTTTTTTCTTTGCTGCTATTGAAAATTGAAATTCCAAAATTTGGGGTATGCACTTCAGTGGCTGAAAAGATACTAATGTGATGAATCTTTTTGGGAGTGGGAGTAATATATACCCCCAAACACTGAGATACTTAGATATAAACCTCATATATGGACAGTATGGATATTTTTTTCCTTGTATATTTAGAGAAGTTTAAATTATTGTAGCCTATAAGCATTTTATATGCATTGATGGAATAATAGAGAATTCTGTAAATAGAGATAACCTCATTTGCAGAAGAATATTTTATGTAAAGAATTAATAGTTTTTGGGGGCAGCCTGGTGGCACAGCGGTTAAGTTTGCAAGTTCCCCTTCCATGGCCTGGGGTTCACCTGTTCGAATCCCAGGTGCGGACCTATGCACTGCTTGCTGGCCCATGCTGTGGCAGGCATTCCACATAAAATAGAGAAAGATGGGCACGGATGTTAGCTCAGGGCCAGCCTTCCTCAGCAAAAAGAGGAAGTTTGGTGGCAGATGTTAGCTCAGGGCTAATCTTCCTGGAAAAAAAATTGAAAAAAAAAATGAGAAAAAGAATTAGTAGTTTTGGTTAGAGGGTGGTAATTACTTTGTTAGATAATGAGTTTTGTTTTTGTTTTTTAATTCTCTATATTCTTTTATGAAATGAGAATTCACTGAAATCTTTATGTGCAGAGACTTTTTAATTGGTCCCCTGAACTCAGTGAACAGTTCTGCTAAATCTCTAATCTGAGGCTATTCTTTTTGGGTGTACCTTTATCTGTACAGTTATAGTTATCTGTACTCCTGAGAAATTTTTCTAGCAACAATACCACTCTTAAATGACCTTCCAGTTGTTGCCATTCTTGTCCCTTGGGCATTTATCTGATTGATAGTCAACTGTTATTTGAATAAGTTCAACTTTTTTTTTAATGTGAATTTACTTAGTTGCCATATGAAGCATCTTTTTCATATGGGGTGGTTAAAATTCACAATGGAAAGACATTAATCCTTGCTCTGTGCACTTATCATGCTAGCTCTTGGTGGGACATAAATAGGCCAAAAAAAGGTACAATCCATGACCTTAGAGGACTTTACAAGGTAGAAAAGGAGGCATACAAAGACAGGAAGAAGGAAGTAGAGGGAAAGCATCTGTCATGGACTGAATATGAAATCGTATACTCAGTAGCCATGTTTTATCTTGCCTTAGCCTTCTGTCTAGTAATGTAGAAAACACACACATAGACCAAAAATTGCTCAAGTTCTGTAAGGTTTTTCATAAATATTAAACACACATTAAATGTCTAAGATTAGGCCAGTCACTAAGGGGAATACAAAATTAGTTGATAGGATTCTTGCCTTCATGGAACTTAACCTTTATTCTTTAAGTGAAAAAGAAAAGGAAATGAAACAATACTTTACATCTTTGTGAAACTCCCATGTTTGGAAGATTGCATATGAAAAATTCTTAATCTATCCATTTTAGTCATTTGTATCTTTCTAAAAATTAATTCTTTACTTTAAACAACAGAAATGCCCCTTTGGCGCCTTATCAATTGTCAATTTACCAAGCAACTTGGAAAAAGAAACAACACATCGATATTGTGCCAATGCCTTCAAACTTCACAGGTATATTTTCAAGTCAACATTTCTCTTTACTTCAGTCAAGAGTAAAATACATTTGGAATTTTCAGAGAAATGCAAAAATGGAAAAAAGTGGTATTCATCATCCATTAAAGAGAAATACAATATTATCATGCAGAATCATATTAAATATGTCAGTGGTTCATTCTGGCTAACATTAGAATTACCTGGGGGTCTTTTTTAAATTGCTAATGCCTAGCCTTCAGCCCAGTTGAATTATGTCATATCTCTGAATGTAGAGTCTGGACCTCAGTAAGTTGAAAAAGCCCCCAAGTGAATCTAATATACAATTGGATTTGCAAATCACAGTTATTTAAATACCCTTATCCCCAAAATAACGTTTAATGGAATTTGTGTTTGATTTTATTTATCTATTAATCTCATGATCTACAGAGAATATTACTCTGAACTTGGAGATAGATTGTTAAATCACAGGAGTTCTTTGAGATTTAATTTGCTGAACACTAATATTTTGAATCTGGGAGTCTAGATTTAACTAATAAAAAGGTATTTCTCAACCTGCCAGCTTTAAGGGGCCTACTGCAGCAGGGAGAATAAAGTGGAATATTTCTAGTTGATGTGGCACTTCTCTCCTTGTAAGTAAGTGGCAGGTCAAAATTAAAAAGAGACAGTGTGAGGTTGCACCTGCTATGTAATTTTGTAGCAAAGCATTTTGTTATACATTAAAACCAAGCCTTATATGTAAAGAAGAATCGTTATACTTTAGAATGGACTTTGAATGAAAATTGAGAAAATAAAATTTGGAGTAATATTGGTTATGGATGCATTTCTAACAATTAACAGTTTAAGTTAATCTTGGCTGTCTTTTTCTTTTTTTCTAATAGCCAATAATATCTGGCCTATATCTCTTAGCTTATTAATGGATGTGTGTGGAGTGCAAGTGGATTAAAATAGATCATTCAGATATTATGGTACTTTTTCTGCCTAAGTCTGAGTTTTATTTTTGTATGCTTATGACAGGTTGCCTATTCCTCGTCCAGGTGAAGTTTTGGGATTAGTTGGAACAAATGGTATTGGAAAGTCAACTGCTTTAAAAATTTTAGCAGGAAAGCAAAAGCCAAACCTTGGAAAGTATGACGTATGTATTACCACCTTATAAAAACGAATGTCTTGGGTTGGTTTTATGAGACTTTGAAGGAGCGTATGTGTGATTTTTCTTTTACTGTCCTTGTTTTCAGGATTATTTGTGGAATTAATTCTGAGAAACTGCATATAGATGGAAGTCCTTGCTTTTTAATTAAAATCTGTTATTGCTACATAGCTAATAATTCTGAGCATCCTTAAACTGTTGAGTTGGTATGCCTTGATTTGAAATTAAATCCACTTCTAATCTTAAGTTAGATGCCAGAAGTATTCTATTTGGATATATGTTCTATTTTGTATAACAGCCATCCTCTTTGCAATTGTGTTGTTAAATTCATGTAATTATACCTATATTTCTAGGATCCACCTGATTGGCAAGAAATTTTGACTTACTTCCGTGGATCTGAATTGCAAAATTACTTTACCAAGATTCTAGAAGATGACCTAAAAGCCATTATCAAACCTCAGTATGTTGACCAGATTCCCAAGGCTGCAAAGGTCAGTTTGCTTTTTAGGAGGAATTTATGCATTCTAGATATAGGTAGAGGTATAAAAGATATATCAAAGAAAACTTATTTTACTTTGTAACTCTTTATAATATTGGAAGAATTTTAATGTTGATAGAAAATAGTAGTAACTACTTCTGGTATATCATCACAGGGGACGGTGGGATCTATTTTGGACCGAAAGGATGAAACAAAGACACAAGCAATTGTATGTCAACAGCTGGGTAAGTGTTTATTTTGTGTATGTTTTAATAGGGCCTGAACTTAACTCATAAAAATAATCTTTGTATGGATTACTGAAATAAACGGGAAAATTTCTAGTAATTGTCATTATTTACTTTATATGTTATACAGTTTTCAACTGAAATATCATTCAAACCCAGAATGACATGAAATATTCATTTTACTTAGAAGAGATAAAATAAAACTTACAACATTGAAGACAATGCCTCTATGTTCTTTGTAGATTTAACCCATCTAAAAGAACGAAATGTTGAAGATCTTTCAGGAGGAGAGTTGCAGAGATTTGCTTGTGCTGTCGTCTGCATACAGAAAGCTGATATGTAGGTTTCTTTATAACTTTTGTACATCTTAATCCTTATTGTAGAGTTTGTATTTGTAATGCTGCTAATAAAGCAGTAGTTTTGAAAGAAATTAATGGAAATTGGATCTTAAGTTTCTAATTTTTGAGGTAAGAGGTTGAAGCAGTTGTACATCCATTGTCCATTCGCCTTGTTATTCCCGCAGGAGAAAAAACTAAATAAATAAATAAAGATAAGTACTTTACAACTTATGGGTTCCAGAGTTTTTTAATATGAAGTCACTTATTATTTAAATTCTTTTTGTATATAAGAAGGATATTTTTTAAGACTTAAGCTCTCCAACCAGACCAGCATGTTTTTTAAATACTTTAAGTAGAACATGAGGTTTTTTTAGGTTACCCCAAGTCAAGGTGACATGCCATGTGGGAGAGAAAAGGGAAATGAAAAAGGCAAGTTTCCTGCCTACCTTCTACTGCCTCTCTTCTCCCAGATATTTATTGCTCCCGTCTTTTTCTGCATTTCTACTCTGGCATCCAATGCACGCTAGCTCTTCTTCACACAAAGTATTCTGTAATTTTGTGCCATGCCCTCCTTTCCAAAAACTGTGTTTGCATTAATGCAGCTCACTTTAGTTAATAAGAGATAAGCTCTCTGAATTACTTCTGACTATATCAGGATATTTTTCCTGAGGAGATAACATTTGGTAAATTAACCTAATCTGGGAATCTCTCTCCAGACTCAATATGCAGTCCTGCTGTTCATAATTTCTTTTCTTCTACTTCTGAGCGGAATACAGAAGTTTTTACCATTACAGGGTGGACTCCTCAGTAGTATAAGAGGGGATTTTTGTTGTTGTTAAATCAGAAACTATATTACAGTGCTTTAAAATAATATGCAAGGTAGAATTGTCATATTTGTCTCTCAAATTATTGTATTTGTTTTTCTTTTTCGTAGTTTCATGTTTGATGAACCTTCTAGTTACCTAGATGTCAAGCAACGATTAAAAGCTGCTATTACTATACGATCTCTAATAAATCCAGATAGGTAAGTACAGATTTGGTATATGCCTGTGTTATTTTGTTTGAGGAGTTTTACAGATTTCTAAAGATTAAACAGGGACCATCAGTGTCATATACACGTGCATGTTTTCCATGTTGGTTATTTGGAGCTACCACTTGAATTTACCTTCCTCTATCTAGAACAGAGGTTCTTAATGTAAGATTCACTTAGTACCATGCCTGGTTCCAGAGAGCCTAGGAATACTCTGAAATGATACGCAAATCCAGCATATATGTATGGATTTGTGGGAAGCAGATCCTTAGCTTTTACCAGATCCTCAAATGGATATGTCACTCAAACACACAGAAAATTTAAAACATTATAAGGATCACCGGAGTAATTCTGGTTCAGGATCTTTCTGAGCACAAGAGAGTTCTTATAACCTCTGTTAAGTAATGACAAAAACCCTGTATTTATGGGGTGCCTTTGTAGTTTGGAGAGTTTTTAAATCCATTATCTCATTTGAGCCTCTCATAGTAATCTTACAAGTTAGGATGTTTAGGTGGTATTCCCATTTTGCAGATGAAGAAGTTTAAGGTCAGACAAGCTAGTTATTTGTTCTAGGTTGCAAATTTACTATATGGCAAAGCTGTGACCAGAGCCCAGGATTTTTTATGCCTCTGCTTAGTGACTGATTTAATACACGGCTGATCTTAGAAGAAAGCAAGAGAAATCCCTAAGGATCAAAAACCAAAGAAAACTATAAAGAGAAGAGACAAGGACATGGCTTTCCTGAGGGATGATGCTCATCTCTGTATTAGGTCTTGGGCTTTAACAACCACTTGTGGGCAAGAAGCAAGGCTTTAAGTTGGATTATCACACATGTAATGCAAGGACTCTCAAAGGACTGCTTTCTCAGCAAAAGCACAAGCACATGAAGATGTCAAGGAAGCATATGTCTGCCACTCACTGAGCTCTTCGGGCTTGGAGGGATGGCTTCCCTTCAAATCTATTCATGGACCAGCGACTCACTTGGATATGGAATTGAAATTTATATAACCAGGGGAGTCTAAGAACTCTTCCATGGCAAGAAAGTAACACAAAAAGAGGATCCTAGAATCTTTAGTCCTATTGTACCAAGCAGAAGCAAACATAAAACCACTCTGGAGGGGTATGCCCTCAACCCTGGTCACACAAGATTCCTAGAGGTAGACTTGTGAGCTCAAATCCACGGTTATAAATGACAGGAGGAAACTGTCTGCAAATGAGTCAGTAGACAACAAACAGCAGGATTAGACCTTCAGGTGACATTCTCAAAGAGACTATAACATAATGTTTAAAATAAATAAAAACATAAAAGGATTCAAACCCTAAGAATATGATACTACAAGCAATAGGTAAATGTTCAAAAAAAACCCATACAAATCTAGAAATCAGTATAGTTGTGACATTTGAAAGCTCACTGGACAGATTATAGATAGGTTAGGGACAGCAGAGAAGAACATTAGAAACCTGAAAAAGTTGATCTGAACAAATTACCAGAATGCAGCAGAGAAAGAATGAGTTTGAAATATGTAAGGGAAGTTCAGAGACATGGAGAATGGAATGAAAAGACTATTTACATATAGCTTAATAGGACTTTGAAAAATAAAGCCATGAAAAACTTATGATTCAAGGAGCAAATGATTCATCTACATGCTTTGAAGTGAAACTTAGTATATCAATGATAAAGAGACAACCCTAGTTGGGCCAAATAGTACCCATAATTTTCACTTCATAGATAGCCTGGGCGTTATGATAGGCTCTTGGGGAATGTAAGAATATGAAATGTAGGGGCTGGCCCAGTGGCGCAGCGGTTAAGTGCGCATGTTCCACTTCGCGGCCCAGGGTTCACTGGTTCGGATCCTGGGTTCAGACATGACACCCCTTGGCAAGCCATGCTGTGGTAGGCATCCCACATATAAAGTGGAGAAAGATAGGCATGGATGTTAGCTCAGGGCCAGTCTTCCTTAGCAAAAAGAGGAGGATTGGCAGCAGATGTTAGCTCAAGGCTAATCATCCTCAAAAAGAAAAAAGAATATGAAATATAGTCCCGGTCTTCAAGGACTTTACAATCTGGTAAAGAAAAGAATACACCCTAGCCGCTTTTTTGATATGTTTTTATACCTCTTTATTATACTGAAATGAAAGTTATAGATATCTGCCTTCACACACAATTTTTTTTTTTAACATCAAATAACATCCTAACCATAATAAAAAGGAGAACTGAAAGGATAGTATTCTACACCCAGGTGACATGTATCTCAGTATGTAAATATTTAGGCAAATCACTACAGTCCTATATTTGACAGGGCAGTGACTTTAATTGTAATAGGGATGGCACATCAAAACAAATTAGATTGACAGAGTCAGTGAAATTAGTGTTAGACATTTTTACAAATGTACTGGTTCTTATTTATAGGTATAAGGTTAAACTAATCTCTAGTGATTGATGATAAAAAGTTACAGGAAGTATATGTGCATCCTGAAATTCTGCATGTCAAGGTATACTTTCAGTCTTTAATGCTGTAAAAAAATTTTGAAGGTCATAAACAACAAGAAAGAGAGGATAGATTGGAGAGCGGAATAATAATGCAATAGGTTTTCTAAATTTGACCTCTAAGAAGATCTTTAGTGATATTAAAAACCAATAAGTAACCCAAAATTAGTTGTAGAGTGTAAATATTCACAGCATAGATTTCTCATTATGCTGTAGATTTCTGTTTCTTGCCAAACCCTCAGAGAATAGAATAGCTCACCTAAATCTTTTTTACATTTTGGACTTTTGCATAAGCTTCATTTGAAGGTAGGGAAATCAAGGAGATTTGACTTTTTTCTTTTCAAAGCAAATTAAAAACTAGTCGATAATAGCATGCTGCTTTACACTGGGCTTTGAAGATTTTAAGGATAAAAAGTAGAGAATTATTCCAGATAATGGAATATTGCCAACAAAGACACCAAGGCAGGATGAGTATTGGCTCACTTGAGTGATTTGCTGTTTTTATTGATGCTTAGCACCCTCATGGTAGAAAACATATCCTCTTAATATTTCCTGTTCATATTAAGCTTGCCCCCACCTTGTTTTATATTCCTGCTTTTGTCACCTGAGACCTGGATTACTGTGATAGCTTCCTAAAAAAAAAAAATTCTTGCCAGATTAATCTTTCTGAAGTGTTTTTTTCATACCATTCTCTTATTCTAGAACTGTGCGGTCGCCTCTAGCTGTATGTTGCTATTTTAATTTTAATTAAAATTAAAAATTTATTTCTTCAGTCACACTAGTCACATTCCAAGTGCTCCATGTTCCAAGTAGCTACTTGCTACCACGTGAGACAACATGGGGATAGAACATTTCCACAATCACAGAAAGTTTTACTGGACAATGCTGTTTAAGAACCTACCAATTTCCCCATTGCCAATTAGCATAAGTCCAAATTCTTCATTTTGTCATTCAGCAACTTTATTAAATATCTGTTCGGTACATAGCACAAGACTAAAGATCATAGAGGTGCTAAAATGTGTTATAGTTTGTCTTCAAGGTGTTTTATGGGCAAGTTGTAGGGGTACTCAAAAATAACAAAGTCCAAGTATCAGTTCAGAGTTACAAGAGTTCAAGAGTGGGGGAAAGAAAGTTCATCTGCGTATTAGGGAGGGTATTCCTACAAAGGTAGGATTTGAGATGGACCTCAGAGGGTTAAGGCGGATTTCAGCAGGTAAGGATTTAGGCATGAGACCATTTAGGAGAGAGAATAGCCCTTAGATACAAATATGGAAAAGTGGACTATTCAGGAAACAATGAGAGATCCATTTTTCAGTGTGTCCTACATATATATGAAATAAGAGAAAATAATAGCTGAAGTTTTGGAAGATTTTGAAAAAAGTCTTAAGGATGTTATGTGTTTCATTTGGAGCTGCAGGCCACATCTGAGGACCTGAAGAAAATGAGATTTGTCAAAAGTCTGTTGCAATATTGGAAGGAACATAATGAGAACCTGAACTAGAATTTAGGCAGAGGAAGAGAAGGGTGAAATAGACACAAGACATTGTTAAGAGTTCACACACTTGACAATTTAAATAATAGATCACTGTGAATAAAATGTCACTTTTTATGGGAGTGATGATTCCATTAATACAAATCTGGAGAGTTTTTATTTGTACAGGAAGCTGATAGATAAAGTTGGAATTTGATGTGTTTGCAGGACATTGCTTTTTGAACAAACTGAACTAAGTTGAATAGGAATAAAGTGCTGCATAAAAGCTTCATGACTTGTCTAATAGTTTCTACACTAACAATACTTTTTCTTATCACTTCAAAAGTCATGTCATATCCCATCCCATTTATAAAGTGCTCCAGAACACACTAACCTATTTCCTTTCTGACCTCTTGGTTTTATCTGTAGAAGATATTTTGCTATGTCGTCTTTTGCTGTTGTTTCGTATCTATTCCTTACCTTCCCCAGCAAAATTGAAAGTTCTCTGGTTAAGGTTCTCTGTCATGTTTTTTATGTATCCTCTACTATAGCTAGCATGAGACAGGACAAGTAGAAGGGCTTAATGCATAAGCCCTTCTTGAATTGAGCCCATGTTGAATAGCATAAACGGTTTAGGCTACATCTGATTTAAGTCTGTTATATTTGTTTCTACTTTGTAAAGTTTAAAAGTACGTTCTTTATTAGCAAAACACATTTCATATATCCATAAACTCTTTCATATTAACTTGTTTTCTTTTAGTTTAGGTAAACATTTTGAAATATGAACATTGATAATGAGTCTTAAAGAAAATGTTTTATGGCTTTTGCTTAATATGGTCTTTACACTTAATTTAAAAATACATCTATTTTCCTGAAGTTTATTCTATAGTAAAAAAAGTTGAGTTTTAATTATAATTGAATATAATTTTAATTATGTATGTTATATTACATTTAAAAATAAAAATCTATGTTGATTTTCAGATATATCATTGTGGTGGAACATGATCTAAGTGTATTAGACTATCTCTCTGACTTCATCTGCTGTTTATATGGCGTACCAAGTGCTTATGGTGTTGTCACTATGCCTTTTAGTGTAAGAGAAGGTAACTTGAAAAACTGTTTTCATAAATGCTGTATTTTTTTTCACTCTGTTGCTTAGAAAATATATTATTGTTGATGTTAAGTAGTTACATGTTGCTATAATATTATTTATCCAAAACTCCAGTCTTATGGAATGTACTCACTGAACAGAATGTATATGTAAGGAGATATATATATATATATATATCAGTTGTTATACAAAACCTCTTTTTGGAGAATTTTCTGTTGGGGTGGGTAGAAATGCTTTATCAACTTGCTGTATTAAAAGTTTCTTTTATATTTTGACTTCAGCATCATTGGCGTCTTCAACTTTTATCTTTGACAGGCCAATACCAGTAGTGAAACTCTTAAAATTCATTTAGTGCTCATCTTGTTTTCATGTTTGAAATTTATCTGTATCTTAAGTGTGTGGGAATAAGACTGTCCAAAAGTCTAATAAGACTTTTAGGCACTTTGACTAAATGGCCACTAAGGCTTCTTCCAGTTTATGTTTTAATTTGGGGTATTAATTTTTTAACCTCACACTTAAAATTTTTAAGTAGTCCAAGATCAAAAAACATGCTAGTTTTGGCAGAGTAAATGTATCTATTTATTTATTCTGTCAGCAAATATTTATTGAATGCCTATGTTTTAGGCTAAGGATACAGGCCCCCTGATGCAGCTCTCAACTCCAGATGAAATGAGTAACAGTCTTAGGCTTTCTTTCAAGACCTTCCAAAACTTTAGCTACTAGCTTTTTCTTATTTCACTTTTGTATAGAAACACTTTAAAACAATCTTTTCATTGTTTCCCAAATAACCTTTTTCATTTTTGTGTGTCTGCCACTGTGGATTTTAACAACTTGTGTGGAGAAATTCTCATGTACAATATTTTAGTTTACTTTCAGTTACTAAAATCTGTTTAGATAATGGTGTTTATCTTTGAACAGTAAAGCCCAAAAAAATGTTAAATGAAGTTAGTTCATTATTATAAATTTCTTACAAACCTACAAAATTAATCTGAAAAAACCACAGTAAATTGTAACCTCAGTATGTAGTTTTGTCTCATGTGAAAATGAATACTCTTAACTCAGATTGTTTATTTGAAAAATTATTTCCCAAACTATTTTGTATCATTTTATGTCAATCTAGGAAAATATTCCATTTTTACTTGTCATTTTTCGTATAATATTAGTTTCAGGTGTACAACATAGTGATTAGACATTTTTATACATTACAAAATGATCAGCATAAGTCTAGTTACCATCTCTCACCATGTAAAGTTATTAAAATATTATATAACTAGAAGTTTATATCTCATAATCTCCTTCACCTATTTGTTCTGTCCTCCTACTCTTCTCCCCTCTGGCAACCACCGGTTTGTTTTCTCTATCTTTGAGGCTCTTTCTGTTTTGTTGTTTGTTTTGTTTTTTGGATTCCACATATAAGTGAAGTCATATGGTATTTGTCTTGCTCTTTCTGACTCATTTCACTTAGCATAATACCCTCTAACTCCATCCATGTTGTCGCAAATGGCAAGAATTTAATTTTTTTTATGCCTGAGTGATACTCCATTGTGTGTATATATATATATATATATATATATATATACACACACACATACCACGTCTTTATCCATTCATCTATCAATGGACACTTAGGTTGCTTTCATATCTTGGCTAGTGAAATAATTCTGCAGTGAACATAGGGCATGCATGAGTTATTTAAACTTGCATTAGATACATAAAACATCATGTTATCACTGCATGTTATCATAAATCCACAGAAATTTAAAATCTATGTGTAGATTGCTCCCAAGAGAGTTTAGGATTTTGGCTTATATGATAATTTCTTGCTGTATAAAATGTTTAATCTTTAATTGATCTTTACTAATCTCTTGTCAATGATTTTCCGACAGGCATAAACATTTTTTTGGATGGCTACGTTCCGACAGAGAACTTGAGATTCAGAGATGCATCACTTGTTTTTAAAGTGGCTGAGACAGCAAATGAAGAAGAAGTTAAAAAGATGTGTATGTATAAATATCCCGGGATGAAGAAAAAGATGGGAGAGTTTGAGCTAACAATTGTAGCTGGAGAGTTTACAGATTCTGAAATCATGGTGATGTTGGGGGAAAATGGTAAGTTTTCCTTATTTTGTGATATTTGAAAGTCTGTTCTTTCTATCCATTCGTTTTAACTATTCCCTGAAAAACTTTGACTCAGTCAGTCTGAGAGCTGGATTGAATCCATACTTTTTGGGGGGGCGGGGGGGGCGGTTATGATAGTTTACAACGTTGTGAAATTTCAGTTGTAAGTTATTATTAGTCAGTCATCTTATAGGTGCACCTTCACCCTTTGTGCCCACTCCCCACCTCCCTTCCCCCTGGTAAGCGCTAAATAGTTCTTTGTCCATGTGTTTATCTTCCACATATGAGTGCAGTCATACAGTATTTGTGTATCTGGCTTATTTTGCTTAACATAATATCCTCAAGGTCCATCCATGTTGTTGTGAATGGGACAATTTTGTCATTTTTTTTGTATTGCTGCAGTGAACATAAGGGTGCATAAGTCTCTTTGAATTGTTGATTTCAAGTTCTTTGGATAGATACCCAGTAGTGGGATGGCTGGATCATATAGGTATTTCTATTTTTGGTTTTTTGAAAAATCTCCATACTGTTTTCCATAGTGGCTGATACCAGTTTGCATTCCCACCAGCAGTGTGTGAGGGTTCCTTTTTCTCCCTAACCTCTCTAACATTTGTTATTTTTTGTCTTGGTTATTATAGCCATTCTAACGGGTATAAGGTCATGTCTTAGTGTAGTTTTGATTTCCATTTCCATGATGATCAGTAATGTTGAGCATCTTTTCATGTGCCTATTGGCCATCTTTATATCTTCTTTGGAGAAATGTCTGTTCATATCCTCTGCCCATTTTTTGATCAGGTTGTTTGATTTTGCTGCTGTTGTGTGAATACTTTATATATTATGGAGATTAACCCTTTGTCTGATATAGGATTTGCAAATATTTTTTCCCAGTTGGTGGGTTGTCTTTTCGTTTCAATCCTGTTTTCCCTTGCCTTGTAGAAGCTCTTTACTCTGATGAAGGCCCATTTGTTTATTCTTTCTTCTCTTTCCCTTGTCCGAGAAGACATGGTCCAAAAAGATCCTTTTAAGAGCAGTGTCAAAGAGTGTACTGCCTGTATTTTATTCTAGAAGTGTTATGATTTCAGGTCTTACCTTCAAGTCTTTGATCCATTTTGAGTTTATTTTTGTGAATAGCGTAAGAGAATGGTCTGCTTTCATTCTTTTACCTGTGGCTGTCCAGTTTTCCCAACACCATTTATTGAAGAGACTTTCCTTTCTCCATTGTATGTTCTTTGCTCCTTTGTTAAAGAATAGCTGTCCGTAGATGTGTGGTCTTATTTCTGGGCTTTCGATTCTGTACCATTGATCTGTGTGCCTGTTTTTGTACCAGTACCATGCTGTTTTGATTACTGTAGCTTTGTAGTATATTTTGAAGTCAGGGATTGTGATGCCTCCAGCTTTGTTCTTTTTTTCTCGGGATTGCTTTAGTAATTCAGGGTCTTTTGTTGCCCCCTGTGATTTTTAGGATTCTTTGTTCTCTTTCTGTGAAGAATGTCATTGAGTGAATCCATACATTTTTCAGTGTAGTTGACATTTGGTGACATTGTATGATTTAGTCTCACTGTCATTCAGTCAAGTTCATATTTCCTATTTTGGTTTGTAACTTTCAGTGAAAATAAGATGTTTTGCTAAGCTGGTTTTTCTTTATATAAATTGATAGAGCATTTATTCGTCTTGGAAACTGACTAGGAAGGAGAGGATAAAGATAAATTGGTAATTCAGAAGCAATCGAGTTTAAAATTTTTTCCTTACACTCCTCCATTTGGAGCTTTTCTTACTTTAAATTTAGGCTAGTCTACTTTTGTAAATAGTTATATCGCCAGCATTTTTTTGGGGGGGCTGAGGAAGACTGGCCCTGCGCCAACATCCATGCCCATCCTCCTCTACTTTACATATGGGACGCCCACCACAGCATAGCCTGCCCAAGCGGTGCCATATCCACACCCGGGATCCAAACCGGTGAACTCTGGGCTGCCAAAGCAGAATGTGCACATCTAACCACTGCACCACTGGGCTGGCCCCTCACCAGTGTTTTTTAATATTAGATTGCTGTCATAAATATAACTGTGAGATGAATTTGAGTACCAAGTATCTGGTATTGCTTTCATGATTTTAAAAAAAGATTTCAGTTGTATACTTACAGCTTACAAAATTGTAAAAGAAAAACTTTTTATGAGGATTGTTGCAATGTATCAATCTTTAGTTAATAGAGGAATTTTTAGCTGCTCTGAAATTAACTTCAATATTTTATGTAAATGGACTTTATAAATGATGGTATCAATCATAACAGCAGTATACTATCTTAATAAATTGTGTGCATTATTTTAACTAAGTCAAGTAACCCAGGACTTAGACTTTATAGACCTACCATTTATTAAAATGGTCATTATAAGCTTTAACTAGTTTATATTTCTCCTAATTAGTCTAGAGTGATACTGGAGAACTGAATCATACAAGTATTTTTCTATATAACTTTCAGAATTCAGTAATCTCAGTGTATATCTTTAAAACTAATTTCTCAATTAAAACTCAGTAGTACATAGTGATTTACTCTAAATGTGAAGCCTGTTTCAAGTCAGTTTGTTGTGTGTTGTATTGCCAGGCACCGGTAAAACGACGTTTATCAGAATGCTTGCTGGAAGACTCAAACCTGATGAAGGAGGTACTGTTAGAACGTTGAATACTTTTACTCTTTGCACATAGTAAACTTTAAAGATCTGGGTGGTTTTCAGTATTTTATTTATTTGCTGTATTTTGCAGGAGAAGTACCAGTTCTAAATGTCAGTTATAAGCCACAGAAAATCAGTCCCAAATCAACTGTGAGTTATTATTCTGTTCTTTGGTTATTAAAGAAAAGTTTTTATATATGTATATATATCTCTATCTATATATGTGTATACACACACACACACACACACACACACGTATAGCTTTCATCATATCAAAATTCTTCTCCAAGTTAGTTTCTGTACAGTTTTATATCCATAGAAGATAGTGTTATTTAGCCATAAAAAGAAATAAAATACTGATAACATGTTACAATATGGATGAAGGTTGAGGACGTGAAGTTACGTCCTTCTGTTTCTACAGGTGTTGTAATGAACTTTTTAACTACAGTATCTACACTCAGTACCTCAACACGCACTCTGTTAGGCCTATTTGAGATAGCTTAGCTTACAATAAATATCTTATTTGTTGATACTTTCTATTAGCTTAGCTTTTAAGTTTTCCAACTCAGCCCTCTCCTGAGATAATAAACAAAAGGCTTCTTAAGATTTGTCTCAATCACATTATCATGCATTTTGTGTTATCTTACTGATTGCGTAAGGTTATTGGATACTCACATTGACCTTGAGAATTACTCCTATTCTCAAAGGATTTTTCCCCAGAAACATTCATCATTTACTACTTTCAAATTTTAAGATTATTGCTTTTTTTAGTTGTCAGACATGGTGGATTTTTAATTAAAAAAATCTCAAAAGATGCCATAGATGATGGATAAGCATAAAAACGCTATTGATATCTCTTGGTGGCAAATTGATATACTTTTGCTCTGGAGCTTAACTTTGTCAAGATTTATACTTAGAGTAGTTCTGTACTGAAATAAAATTTCAATGCTTTTTCCATTAAAAACAGGGAAGTGTTCGACAGTTACTACATGAAAAGATAAGAGATGCTTATACTCATCCACAATTTGTGACTGATGTAATGAAGCCTCTGCAAATTGAAAACATCATTGATCAAGAGGTACTCTAAAATAATTATTTTTATTGTTTTAAACTTTGGATGTCTCTACATAGTTTGCTAAACTTGTTCTCCAAATAGGTGCAGACGTTATCTGGTGGTGAGCTGCAGCGAGTAGCTTTAGCTCTTTGTTTGGGCAAACCTGCTGATGTCTATTTAATTGATGAACCATCTGCATATTTGGATTCTGAGCAAAGACTGATGGCAGCTCGAGTTGTCAAACGGTAATGTCCTGCTCTTAAGAGTATTACTTTTGATTATATGTACTGGCATACAACTGTGCTTAATACTAGCATTTGACTGTTTCACGATATAAAACTATAAAAGATTTCAAAATCCTTTGTTTTATTAGTTTCATACTCCATGCTAAGAAGACAGCCTTTGTTGTGGAACATGACTTCATCATGGCCACCTATCTAGCAGATCGAGTCATCGTTTTTGATGGTATTCCATCTAAAAATACAGTTGCAAACAGGTAAACTACTTTCTAAAATATTCAAACCTAATTATAAGTTCTAACAATTAGAAAATTATTTAAAATTTCCAATAAGCTTTATAAACAGTCATACCATTTTAATTTTTAAAAAGGAAAGAGCCGGAAATCCTAGAAATGATTCTATGACTCCCAAGATTATTCATATCAAATACTGGATGGGCCCAGGTAGAACAGTAGTTTTCAGACTGTTCTCCTGACTCAGGAGGATAAGCATGCAGAGCTCTGGACCCCTTACCTTTTCTTTCAGATTAACTTTTGTCTGCTTCATTATTTGGATTTCCAAAACAGGTTAGGATTTTGTCTTTGCAAATAATTTTTTGAAAACCATTGATGTCACGTATGACAAATAAAACAAGATCCACTTGATTACATGATTCGCCTAACTAACACTGCTAGTGGTAAAGCTCACAGTAGACCCCAAATATCTGGTATTGGTCTACAGCAGAGTTAAAATGAATGATTTTACCTTCTCACCTTTTTTCCTCTCGTTTTTCCCTGTTGACTTAATTGAAAGCACTTAAAATATAGAGAAGCCTAACATTCAAATCAGTTTATAAGAAATTTCCTATACTTTTAGTGCTAAAACCTTAGATTAGGTCGAACCATGTGAAATTACTGATATTTGACCATTTTTGACCTATGAAAACAGCAATTTCATGTGATTCCAGCTTAATGGTGTCTAGTATTAGAGAGTGAGGAATGGAGTTGCCATTTGAATAATTCTAAGAAATAAAAGTGCCTTACTGAGCTCTTTCCCAGAATTCCATTGTTTTCATTTTAAATTTGTATATCAATTATTGAGAATTACATATTTCTTTGAGAGTTAGGGAAATTTCTTAGACTTTATAAAGCATATTTATTCAAATAATGATCCTCCCTTTCTATTTATAAAATGCTCAAAACATTCCACGTGTGTGATGTGATGTAGCCTGATTTAAGAACTAGTTTGGGTGAAGAAGATGAATAAAGCATAGAAATTTAAAAAGGACTTCTTAGTACTGAAAACCATTATGTTGTATATATTCCCTCCAGTGCTAAATTCCTAACATAAATATTACTTTTTCTGTTAATTCTCTTCTCCCCTAAAAAATATGAGATTTGAATTTTTGTAATCTCCTAATGAATGGTTTTTTTGTTTTTCTAATATAGTACGTCTGTCTTAAATATTTCTTTTTCCAGATCAGAAACACAGGTTAAACTGTGTGTTTTGCACAGAAATATTATAGCCAAACAAACAGTTTACCTTAAACAAAGACCTATCTCAACAGAGAATTTATAATATGCTGTCATTGTATTATTATCGAGATGACTTATGATTGGGGAATTAGAAGGAACAGTGATTTTTAATACTCTTCATCCCAAAAAGTAGTTAAATTTGGGTGGTAAAATGTAATCACAATTGATAGATCTTATTTTTTCCCTAGTCCTCAAACCCTTTTGGCTGGCATGAATAAATTTTTATCTCAGCTTGAAATTACTTTCAGAAGAGATCCAAACAACTATAGGCCAAGAATAAACAAACTCAATTCAATTAAGGTATGTAGAAAAACTATGTTAAATTGCGGATAACTTCTCACTGTAAATAATTGAAAGGCGTGTTTCAAATTGGAAGCCTGTTTCATTAAAAATCTACACATATTTCCTTAATTCTAAGATTCGTGTTTTCCACCTTAATCTGGTGGCATGCTTCAGTCTGGTAGGCAGCAGTGTGATGTAGCTGCCGTTGCTGCATGGACTCAGGCAGAGCTGTTGATGTCTCGTTGAATCGTAACCACTGTTGTACTACATGTGTTGAGTTTAACTGCCATTTAAAATGTCTTCAGAAAGATTACACTAATTCAATATTGAAACAAAGAAGTTTTTGCAAGTACTTTAACCATTTCTCTTATATATTTTTCTTTTTGTGCGTGCACAAGAGCAACACAGGATTAAAATGTATATTTTAAGAGTCTAAACAAGCTCCTTAAGTGAACATAATATTCTAAACAATGGAAAAGCATTTTGTCAGTTTAATTGGCAGTTTTTTTCTTTCTTTGTGGTACATAAAATAATTGTGCACCTTATGCTTGATATAGTGTGTGAACTATGGTTTGTTTTTTAGAAGGCAGTAATCTCTTGGGCACTCAAAAAAAGAAAAAGTGAGTGAACTCTAAAAAAGCATTTCTGTGTTTTTAGTATCCCCTGTAGTGCCTACTTAAAATGCTATTTACATTTCCTGGCCCTCTAGCCATCATCCTTAATATTTAGAAGCTTTAGAAGTCTGCTATACATAATGTGTAGCATTTACTAGTTTTTATTATTTTCATATTTGTACTTCTTTAGCTTTGCTACTAAACTGTGAGCTCTTGGAAAGCAGAGACAAGGTCATCGTACACATCATGTCTTTTTAAGCACCTAACACGATGTCTGGATGCCTTTAGCCTTCACTGTGTATTTTCTTTATAAATGATTTATGTTACTCTCGCCAGGATAATGAAATGACAAGTTCTGACTTTAAATTGAAGAGTTTTCCCAGTTTTGAAAAGCTAATAAGCAGAAAAGAGGAACTAAATTCCAGAACACTTATTATGCACAGCTTAATTTTCCTAAGAATGTCTTCTGAAGCATTATAAACACTTTGTATTGTCATTTTCTTGTGTAGATACTCATGGTGCAGTCCCCAGGTACACCTATTCATCATTTCTCTATGCCTAGTCATATCAGACAGTCATACCATAATCCTAATGAGGGAGCAGCTAGGCAAGTAGGTCGATGGATCATTACTGGTCAGTCTATAAACAGTACTGGGAAAAGTTATTTTTAAATACGTTTTGTGTAAGTTCTCAAACTGACAGTATGTTACCTTTTCGACCAGCTTAAAATTAAAATGCTGAAGATGAAATTGAATAGTTTTCCTGGAAACAGTATTTTATATAACAAAATTTTATATGTGTAAGTAAGGCGTTATATGTAAAGGGGATTTGCTTGAGATGGACCAGGAGACGTGTTCTGGGAGTAGGGATGGGTCGCAGAGGTCGTAATGTTGCCTTTTAGTAGTGGACCCAGGAATATCGAGAAGCAGACAGTGAGTACAGAGGAGGTTGTACAGACACTGTTGTGAAAAGTTATACAGTGGGTAAGTCTACCCCTACGTGTGGAAGAATGGCGTTGATTTTTGTTGCTTCTCTATTTTATTTTTTAGGATGTAGAACAAAAGAAGAGTGGAAACTACTTTTTCTTGGATGATTAGACTGAATCTGAGAATATTGATAAGCCATTTATTAAAAGAAACATTTATTAGGATTTTGTCATAGAAAACTTTAATCAGGTTTTATGCCTCACATACTCTGGAGCTTGAAGTATAGTTTACTTAATGTAACATCAAAAGCCAGTTGTGTTGTAAATTGTAGTCTGAATACAGAAAATGCCCCATTTCTGTTCTAGATAAGCCCCTTTTTGTGCATAACATTCTAAAATGAAGACATTTCAAGCTAAACAAATTACCTCCAAGTTTTCATGATGTATGGGAAGATTTTTAATGGGTGTATAATATTCATGTACCAAATGCTCACCAGTTTTGCCCCCTTTTAAAAATCTTGAAAAAAGATTTCTGTACTTACATGGTTTGCCAAGTATGACAATATAATGAAACTGCCCTTATTTTAAAAGCCGGTCGAAGACTCCACTGATGAAATTTGATAAATAAACATCAGGATTATATTTGTTATTTGTTTTCAGTCTTTGCACTATATTATCAGTGTGTTTAGGCTTTCAAAGGAAAATTACTACAAAACACCACTTTTGGGAAATGGCTCTGTTACCAACTTAAATATTGTTTACGATGTTTTTGGTGCTGTTGAATATCTATCAGAAAAATCATTTCAACACCTCTCTCCCCACCACCTACCAAGAAAAAACCCAACTTTAGTCTGAATTATTCAATTTTAGATTTCCATAAGATTGTATATTCTGTAATTATTCTCAAGGTCATTCTTTAAACATACATTTATGTAATCACTGATCAAGATTTAGGAAAAAGCATTTTAAAGAATATTTGTTTCCCTTTAAAGTACAGGCTCAAAATCTTTAGAGTTGGTGCCTAAGCACCTGTGTATTTTTAAACTTTCACAGATTTCTTCTGATGGGCAGCCAAGGACTATGAGCCGTTTACCTAAAGGCAACATTAATGCAAATGAATCCCCAGATAGCAATACAGAGTATCCTTTGGTACCAGATATATTCATTTCTAAGTCTGGATATAGGGGACATTATCTAAATCTATTTGACTTTTTGTTTTTTGCTTTTTGAATTTTGGATAGTGTGTAGTAAGAGTTCTGAAAACTTATCTTAGGTTCCTGAGTTTGAACAGTGGGATACCTGTAATGTGAAACCACTTCCATTTCTATTTCTGATTATACTAGTGCACTGAACTGGAACTAACAGAGTACAAGTGAGGAAAAGAGTTTACTAAATAAATTAATGGAGCAAGCAAAATAGAGAGGAAATTTAGAAGTTATTGAATAGACTTTTAGAGCTCCTTGAAACTGTAGAAGCTTTGATTAATATGCAAACAGTGGATAGAAGGTATGGTTTAACTGCACCCCATTAGGCCTTTTAAAAAATTAATTTATATGACTAATCCATAAGTACATGTTTATTGTGAAAAAAGCAAATATACAGAAATATGTAGACTAAAAAGTTATGATTTCCCTTTACATTACCCTCCCAAAGGTTACCTGTGTTTGCTGTTAATATATATCCTTTCATGCTTTGCACTTACTAAGTGTGTGTGAATATGTAAAGGGTTTATTTTGTACATAAATGGGATTATACTAAAATAAGTAGTGCCTACTTTAAGGATAGGTTAAATTTGTGAATGCTTATTTCATATATTGAATAAAATAAGACAAAAGCTATTTTTATTTACTGATCCATATTCTGTCCAAAGAAAATACTTGTGATATAAGAGCACAGTTCTTTCTACTTATTGCTAATGACAGAATATGTTCGTTTTTCATGTAAATTAAATTTTAAAAATACGTATTTAGATTTTACTGAAATTTTATATAGCAATAGAAAAGAAAGGTCTTAGAGTTGCTAACAGAAGAAAAACGTTTTTCTATAAAACCAGTTATACCAACTCAAATAGACCTTCAATGCAGATGTTAGCTATTAAAAAGAATGAGACTGCTCAGTGTGTCCTGATTGGGAAAAAATCTCTAAGCAAAAAAGGTGGTGCAACACAGTTTATATAATATACACCATTTACATGAAACTATACAAAATACTAAAATACACAAAAGGATAGTCTAGAAACTTACTATTGCTTTTTGGGAAGGCTAACTTGATGGTTAAAGAATAGGAGACATAATACACATATACCCCATTATCTTTCGAATTTTGTACATATCAACTGTAGAAATCATGTAAGTTTTTAAATCTTCAATAAAGAGATAATCCACTTTTTTTTTTTAAAGATTGGCATGTGAGCTAACATCTGTTGCAGATTTTTTTCCTTTTTTCTTCTTCCCAAAGCCCCCAAGCACACAATTGTGTATTCCAGCTGCAGGTCCTTCTAATTGTGCTGTGAAGGACGCTGCCCCAGCGTGGCCTGATGAGCGGTGCCATGTCCGTGCCTAGGATCTGGACTGGCAAAACCTTGGGCCGCTGCAGCAGAGCACACAAACTTAACCACTCGGCCTTGGCACTGGCCCCAAGATAATCCACATTTATTATGTTCAACTAGTGTACAGCAGTCTTAACAAAAGCAGTGTATGTATACAGTTTAAGTTAACCTAAGTTTAGACCATAGCGTCTTGAAGTCCAGTCCAATCTCTCTTGCTTATAACTCAGTGTAGAGTTTGGTGTCTGGCGTGTACTTTGCCTACTGTGTTGAAGGAATGAATCTACTTGCCAGAGAGAAAGTAGGAAGACTGGACAACTACTCAGTAGGTTCTATAATTTCATATTCATTAACATTTAGATAGTGTATGTCAAGCTGTTAGTCCAGTGCCTGGTGTATTATGAGCGCTCAGAAGAGAAATAGTTCTGGGTTGGAGAGTCAGAAAGCGTGAAGGAAGTAGCTCCAAGGAAAAACAGCACCTCTAAGGATAAATAATAAGGTAATCCATGTAAAGTAGAATACATGTCAGGTCAGGTAGAATCAGCACAGGCATTGAAGAGGTTAGTGAAAGGATGCATACGGGCAGGTTGTAGAGGATTTCCTGTGCCTTCAAGATTTAAGTTCGAGGTTTCTACATGCTCAAAGTAGAGACTGAAGAGACAGCAAAATTAGAGAAGCAACAAGAATTTTCAAGATAGCAGTTCAGGAGCTTATAATTTTTTAATTTTTTTATTCCATTGTCTTAATCTTTTGAAATATTTAGAGCCTGTCCATTTAACTCATGCATTGCTTTGTAATGTGTCTGCTACCTCTTCCTCTTGGGAGGATCGTTTCCTTGTATTATTTTAATTTGTGAGCTGATGTTCAGTGAGGCTTTATCTGTGAAAATTCTAAGGCCAAACAGTCCCCTTTTCCTTCCAACCTCTTACTCACCAGCACCTCCTTCCTTGCCAATTTGATAGGGTAGGCAGTGTGCCCAGCCCCCAAGGGTGGGTCATAATTGGGCTAAGACAACCATGACAATCCTCTTCTATATTTTCCTACTCTCTTGCAGCTAGGCATGGCCATGTTGACCAGTTCTAGCCAGTAAGTTGAAAGTAAAAATCTTCTGGGGTGTTTCTGGAAGTCCTCTAGCTTTCCTAATAAAAGGAGATACATATCTGGTACTGCTTCTTGTGGATGTGTTGTGCATATAAGGTGACACAAAGGAAATGCCAAGAAAGCCACAAGGATGCTAGTCCTGACATCAAACACTGGACAATTGCTAGCAGCCACTTCTCTCCAAATTTCTTATGAAATGGAAATAAATCCCTATTTGTTTAAGTTACAATAAGTCAAACTGGTTTTCTGTTAAAGTAACCTTGGTTCCTTGGCTGAGGTCTGCCTTTCCAAAGGCTTTCTGTCTGCTTCTGCCAGGTGACCCAAGTGTATGACCAGTTTGGAACCACTTTTCATCTTAGCTTGCAGATTCCTGGACCTCAAACCTAAACAAATGTGATAACATTCTCAGGGTTTTATTGTGGGGTTTTTTTTCCTGTAAGAATCTAGAACCCAGGCCAGGAGAGGTTTGTCTATAGAAAATGTCTACTATTACTGTTAGTGCCCTTTTTACTGGGGTGCTCCTGGCTTTAATGCAAATGTTAGTTCCAGCCGCCAACCTTGCACATGCCCAAGTCTGTCTCTTACCTACACAGTTCTCAGCTGAGACTGGCAACCATGTCCATCCATCCTTTCTCATGGAGTGCAGCCTTGGTGTCACTTCATGTCTATTGCTACTGGTTTCTGGTCTCCGTTTCTGGAACTGATGTGTAAACATAGCTTATAAAATTATAAAGGACTTAAATGCTTTTACTAACTCCTAATGTACAAAGTAACTTACAGGAAGCATGCAACAAGTTACACACTAACAGGTGTATCCCTAGGTAGGTACATAGCATTACATTGTTTTCTACTCCTGAAGGCAGTTAGTCTAAAGCCAGTTTTAATTTAAAAGAAAAAAGTTACATTATACAGAATTTTTGTTGTTGAAATCTGTTAATAATTTGCCAGTTAGGTAGAATATCCAAAAGGATATGAGGCCATAAGAACCACACAGTTCACATCTTTAATCTTTATAAGATTTTTTCTAAATGTGAAAAACAAAATGTAATTACAGGAATGGTATGTATTTATAAAGGGTTGACTTTGAAGCTCCAGCTTCTCTAATAAACTCATAGGATTAATCTAAAAACTAACACGTTTGTACCAATGTCTGTAAGCTTCACTTTTCTGGGGAGTGCATGATTCACACTTTTGGATGAGCTTATAAATTTAGTTATGAAGGGAAGCTGTGTTGACTTGTTTTGTAGTTTAGATTCTCATACTATTCCCTAGACATGAACCTAAAAGTCAAAGTCAAGTAAAAGTGTTAACAAATATTCAAAGTGAAAAGCAGGCCCTTCTAATATAGAAAACTTTCAAAGAAACCCTGTATAGGATATTTCTTGTGGAGCACTGGTCACCTGTCTCACCTTTTTATCCCATCCACTTCAAGCAACCAATTCTCCAAGGGCTCACCCAGCACCAACAGACATCCGCGTTGCTATCCTCCCCATCCTCTGGCTTCTGCATTGACTCGGTGGGGAGAGGCACTGGCACTCACCCAGCTGACAGATAAAGGCTTCCCCCTTTTCTTCTTCCTTTCTCCCTGCAATCCCCCCAAGGTTCTATACTGCCCCCCCCTCACTCACCTCCTCAGGCAGTCCCAAACCAGCCTATAGGACTAACCAACTTGTCCTTCCCTGCTTGCTGCCCCTTGTTCCTAGATCACCTTTCTATCAAACACTTGCACTGAATGAAGCTTTTTTTTCAGGCTGTGCTTTCTGGGGAAGCTATTCTAAAACAGTCCAAATAGTAAGTAGGTTAAACAAGTATTGACTAGCAATATTCTTAGGTGACTTGATTTAATGTAGAAATACAGCCTTAAGAAACTTGGGTTTTCAAAGTACCTTATGTATACTTGCTACCTTTGTTTTCAAATAAAACTTCGAAAAGATTTGCTTTACTTTTCTTCAGAAGACAAATATTACTGAATACTAACTTTAAAAAAAAGGGCCATTTAAATCCATAAATTCTTAGATATTCCACACATCGCCATTAGCTCTAAAACCACTGAGCTAGGTTCAAATCCACATTCTACCACTTGTTAGACGCATGACCTTACTCAAATTACTTGGCCTGTCAGTTTTATTATACAGTTGTGTGTTGCTTAACGACGGAGACACTTTGAGAAATAACATCATTAGTTAATTTCATCGTCGTGTGAACACCAGAGTGTACTTAAACAAACCTACATGGCATAACCTACACACCTAGGCTACGTCGACCACTGTCATATATACCAGGCATCGTTGTTCTGCAGTGTGTGGCTATATATATAAAGTAGGGAAAAGAAGAGTTACCTACCCCATGGATTATAAAGCCTATGTGTTTAGTTGCACATACTAGAATTAACTTCTGCCTGGATAAAAACCATGGAAACCATCTCCTACTTTTAGAAGTTTGACTAAAATTCGTCTAAGATTTATATGCTATATTACTTGGTTAACCCTGGAACCAAAGAATCACAAGCAGAATCAAGAGACAAAATTTTATATATATGCACACAGTTTTATATATAATGCAGCATCACACCATGTAGGGCATTTACTCTTATTTTATACATTCAGATATGTTTGAAACACTTCTTAAGGCTACAAAACAGAACATAGAAAAATAAACAGGAATATATTCAACACTTACAAAAAGTGATATGATAAAGAATATAAAGTACTATTTTCCTTTCAACACTTCAAAAGATATGTATATATACTTTTTTACAAGTAACATCACAAATGATCACATCTTCACATGCTTTTAAGTATTATTTGTACTCAGTGTAAGGCTATTATTTTTCATACATAAACTTTTTTCTAGCTCTGTAACAATGCAATTTTTAATCCATTCAAGTAAATTCAACCCCAAAATTGCTGTTTCCCAGCATTAAGACATGCACCCACCCTCTTCTAGGATTTTCTAAAACATTTCAGGGGGAAAAGATCCCAATTAGTGGGAGAGTAAATGGCTGACACTAGTAGCAAAACCTTAGTTCTTTGAAAGTGACATACTGGAACTGAGCCATTAAGATTTTAAACAAAAACACAATAGCATTTAGACATTAAATAGGAAGCAAAATACAGTAAACAGAAATAGTGTAGCCAAATATGCATTCTCCTCAGCTACACTAAAATGGACCTTGCTTAGTACCCAGAAGTGAAAGACTAAGGTTACCTCATCTAAAAGTGAAGGTAAAATAAATGAGGCATAAATAAATATTGCTAGTTTCTAGGATGGCTGAATGTTTCTAAACCAGAAATGGTTAGAAAGGAACTGTATTGCACCAAGTCAATCATAAGCAAGTTTGCAGTTCACAGGCATTTTAATTCAACCTTGAGTCACAAAGGAAACACTGCAAGTATAGTTTGCATCAAATAAGCTGTATCAGCATTGTGGTTTGGGAAAACCCACTCCTACCAGGTCAAGGCAGGGTCTGAGCTTAGGTCAGCCGTGAAAATGAACGCATGGGTTACCAGGAAACGAATGAGGACTACACAGATGCTAACATCCTGCTGCCAACCAGTACATGGAGCAAGAGTTGAAGATTGATCTGAGAGGAAATGAAATTGAAGAGAAATACACACGATACTAAAAGGAAAGGGACAGCAGTCAAGTTTAGCAAAAGCAACTACCTAAAAGGAAAAACAAAGGTGAGCTTTGGTCATTCTAAACATTTGTTCTTCAAAATGTGTAAGATCATAATACAGTCAAGTTCCATAATTTCCAACTCAAAATACAAATGATTCTCACTTCTAAGCTTTTGTTTTTCTCTTATATAGAAACATTATAGTTCATGTCAACATACCTCTGATTCAGTTAAAATGGAGGACGACAAAAGCTTGCTTGGCCCTAGTTTGACCTCAGCATAAGGCAAAATCCCCTGGGCTAATACAAACAAACCTAAAGGAGAAAAACAAAACTGACCTTCATACAAAGACTGATAATTTTAAAACTAATTAACAAAAGTCAGAGTTCTTTTATTCCAGAGGTCACTGAGTAAAGTACCATCTCCTAAACTTCTCTTTCAGCACTGTTTCCATCATGTCCTGGAGGTAAGTTATGGGAAACAGGAAAGAAATCAGTATTTCCTTCAGGAACTATAGAGTATTCTGTTACTCAATTGAGGTAAGACAGAGTGACAGTGAAGAAATGAGCAGTATTCTTTCCTATCCAATTTTTAAACATTTCCAGAAGAAACTGAGACAATCAAATCCCAGTCAATAAAACAAAGGACACTAGAAATAGCAATTTCTTTTGGACTCCTGAGATCACACTATTGAACTCTTAAATCTAGTCATTGTATGTAAATGTGATTTTCATAAAAATTCTCAGGTTAGGCTAATAATAAAGCATTAGCTGAAAGTGGAGGACCCTCTAATCTTCATTTCATAACAACTGTTGATGTTAACTAAGAAAAAAATGGCTTAAGGAGTATACCTTCCTCAATTGTTCTAGCTTTAGAAGGTGACAACAGAAGTTCCTTTCAACAGGTTCTCTCAAGAATTTTTTTCCACACAACCATCCCAGTCTTTACAAATTTTTACCTAGCACCATCATAATAAAATGTTATCTTTCAAAGTGCTGTCTAAAATCCTATGTTACAAAACATCTAAATGCTAATCACTACTCAAATCAGCAGTTACACAGACATTAGGTAATTAAAACCACAGAGGTAAATAACCATTATTACAGTACAGTGGAGATTCACTGAGCCTAGCTGGCATCCCAACATTCCTGCGGGTTATCAGAGAACCCAGAAAACTCATCTGCTTCAGTTTGTCAAATTCAAGTGAATTGTATTTGCTTTTAAAGTAATTTGCTTTAAAAAAAAAAAACAAAACTATTTTTGGCTAGGTATATTACACGTGGCATGCAAAGAGAAATTACTACGTTATTTGCATAGCACTCAAACTTCCTGATCAAAAGAGAACATAAAAAAGGGTAGATTTTCACATTGGTATGTACAAATAAGAAATATAAGCTACAGTTATTTTTACACAGTAACACAGATAAATGAATACTGTGTTAATTCAGAGTCAAATCTCCAAATGAGAACAGAGTGCAACATGCAAAGGGAACTTCTAGTGAATACTGCAAAGACTGGAAGGAAGCAGGATCAGAGACATGTTACCAAAGGGTTGACAAGCTATAAAAATGCAAAGCAAAACCATTTTCTAGCAGCATCCTCTAGAAAAGAACTAGAAGTCACAATCATCCTTTTTTGTACAATAGTTCCAGCCGTGACAAATTGAACATGCAAATGTAAAGTGATATACATAACTAATGGTGCAAAGAGAAAAACAAAACACAGTAACTCTATAGAAACCTGTCAAGCTAAAAATTTAACATTTCTTCTCACAAAATATTTAAATCTGTCAGTGCATTAGTGTTAAAGTGGCATTAAAAAATTTCTGCAGTTTTAACAGATGCAGATTATTTTCAAAATGCATAGCATCTACATTTCTTTCGAGTAGGCACCATGATATTTACACCAGTGCTAAGAATTCTTGGTGGAAACAGCCATTTCATTAGATTTCCTATTATTTCTTAAACATCTGTTCTTGTACGCGATCTCAAGTTCAACAAATACTCACCAAAATTCAAAAATATACCCTATGAATATTAAAAGAACTATATACAACATTTCTAAGACACAGGTTAATAGGCTGCCTTATGTGTAATATTAAAGAGAAGACATTATTCAAGTTTGACAGATACTGAGATGAAAGGCCTTTGGGTTGGAAGCATTTCAAAAGACAACAGTGTTTTAGGCTAAGAATTGTTTGAGCCCAGTTTATGACTAAGGCATTGCATAATAAAATATACATTTCTATTTGGTGCAATGTTATGTTTTGGAATCTATAGTGTGTCAAATGGTATATTTTCTTGTCACTTTAGTAAACACTATAAAGCACACATTTCCAACATTTGAAATTAAACTTATATGAGGAAAAAAACCAAACGCTAAATCTATAATGTTTTATATTAAGCTGTTTATAAAAAATACTTTAACAAACATTTTCTACTTTTTATGGGAGCAGTCACCCAATAAACAGATTTTGAACAAAGAAAAATGGCAATGCCAGGAATTCACCTGCCCCCTTGAATGCATATCCAAAATCTGTTGTCCAAGATGGGAGTGAGGGTAAAGGGGGAGGGGAGGAGAGCGTTCCAATTTGGGTTTTTATTTTAATGTATTTTTTTAAAGCCTTCAGAAACATTCCACCTAAGAAAGGGTTTCTGCTCTAAAATCCCGCAGCAACAACCATCAAGCGTGTTGTCCCCGATGGCCGTCTCCCATCCCTGATCTTCTCCTGTCCCCCCTATACGGCCGTCCTCTGACATTGCGATGGTACTGATAACCTTCGTCTCGGTTTCTGCTTGGCTGCCCTTTCCAGGACTCCTCACCTCTCGCGTGTTGATATCCTCCCCTACCAGAATAGCCCCAATCGCTTTTGTACTTCCTGCCTCCATAAGTCTGATTATAGAACTGCTTGGATCTACCACTTCTCAGAATATTAGACACTTCACTTTCGTCTTCTGAACTCTCTTCTTTTGGTCTTTGCACTCTGCTATCCACAGAGTTGGCCCCACTGACCACGTCAGCAGCAGTCTTAGGATCTTTCACTTTTTCTGGTTTTTCTTTCAGACTTGGAATGGTCCTTTTAGGCTCAAGTTCAACAGGCACAGTTTCTCTCTCTCTGTTCAGAATCTGAGTGGGAAGAGGAGCCTTTCCCTCTGCTACAGGAGGGACGGAAGCCAATGCCAGATCTGCCTTAGGTGTCTGGGACGACTGCTCCACCCGGCCTTCATGCTTACTCACACTGGCTTCAGGGAGACAATGTGTGCCTTCACCTCTGGCCTCCTGAAACTCCTCTACTGCTGCACCTGAACCACATTCTTTAGACAGATCCAAATTTTCCAGGGGCAGATCCAATTCTCCTTTCTCATCAGAAGGCAAAACAATATTCTGCCTCATTACTGGATTTTCTACAAATCCCTGAAAAGGGTACCCATACCAAACATGAGGAAAGAAAGGAGGTGCAATGGGAACTGGGCCTAAGAATGGATTGGGTCCAAAGGACGGCTGTGGGAACATATTCTTGCCACTTAGTGACTCTTCATATTCAGCATGAAGAAGCTGTCCAGAGTTTTCAGATTCAAGATCAGCCTGGTAAGACAACTGTCCATGACTTTCAGACACCTGAGATGGAGGGATAACCAGAGGTGAAGAAAATGTTGGTGGTCCAATCTCTGCCTGTGGCATCTGACCATTAACACTGGCCTCAGTCTGCATAGGAAAGTGTGCATCGGTACAGGTACAATCACTTTCATTCTGAGCAGAAGGAGCTTCTTGGAACCAAGGGTTTTGAGGATACACAGGGACAGGGACCTTTGGGTACATCCTGCAGGCTGCCAGATAGGCCTGGTGCAAAGGGTACAGGTAAGAGTGCGGGGCCCACATGGGACAACTATATGCCTAGAAGAGACAAAAAAACAGTTAAGATAAACAAAAAGAGGGGAAAAAGAATAAGTTTCTCATGCCTGCAAAGATCATATAATCTGCAGTCCAAATACCAGATCACTGTGATATGCAACATGAAAAGGAATTACAAAATTAAGTCACTGCTCTAAGACCCCATTCCTTGTTCCTATCCTGAAACCAACCCAAAGTCTTGGTATAGAGGCTGACAGGAGACAATATAATGAACCCATCCACAGATTATCATGATCATTAATTCCATCCTTTGGATATAAATGCATTGAAATAATTCTGAGTGGTGCAGATCTCACAAACAACAAACATCAGCACTCGAGCCTCCAGCTTCAAGTATCTCTATCACTGGCTATTTAGCTTGACCTGCATTTGTGTTCTGGCTCTACCACTAACTCTCTGTGTGACCCCAAGCCAACTAGTTAACTGCTCTGGACCTGTTCTACCAGAAAAATGCTGGTACAGGAGCAGAGGATGCACAACATTAGCACTCCACAGGTCTAGGAGCCCCCAGAGCACTCCTCCTCCAAGATGAGAGTTAGACCTCTAGTCAGAGAAGGGTGAGACTGAAAACGAAATACTCCAAATCCTTCTCCTGCAGAGGTTCAGCTAGAGACCAAAACACAAAGAAAAATTTACCAGCTAATTGGCTAATTAACCAATTAGCTAAAGCCAATATTAACTAGATAAACATAAAACTAGGCAATGAATGCAGTTGATGGTGAAATTAATCAAGTCTCCTTTTATGAGCTGGTCAGGAGGCTATAGTAGACACTTCATTTCATAGTTTTAGTCTAGAACCCACAGAAACTAACCCAAGACAGGAGAGAACACAGCACTGACAAGGACGTGGAATTCTCCAGCCTCTTTCTAAGACAAGCTATTTCTAGGCTGACCACTTCCCAAAGGATGCCTCCACTCTGCTAATGAGCACACCACCTTCCATAGGAGTACTTTCACATGTTACTTCCTTTGATCCTCTCAACAACCGAAGCAGGTGTAAGAATCCATAAATGAAAACAGCTAGGCTCAGATACACTAAATGACCTGCCCAGGGCTACACAGCTAAAAAGTGACGGAACAGAACTTCAAACCCAGATCTTTCAGTTAATTCCTCAGTAAGGACATTTCCACCAGGCTGCTCACGGATGGGACTATTTCCTGAATATACTGACAAGGTGAAACCGCTGCCAATTAAAAGGAAAAGCAAGCAAATACTGGAGTCTCAATCACCACCAAAACTAAACAATACAGTCCTGAAAATGGTAGTTCTCAATGAGATTTAATGAACCTTAGGTGACTGATTGACAGGCTAAGAGTTAATATTATTTAAACAGTAATAACAGTTAAGCTGTTAACTTAAAAAAATAACTTTAAATGATAAAAATGTGAATACCTTTACACCAAGATTGAAGAAGAATCGAAGAATGTTCTTATCTGAAAAATAACATAATCATCACTAAAATTATACATTCAAAAAGCTTTTTTCCATTGTCCTCAAACAATATATAGTTCTAAAGACAATTTTGCCTACTGGAATTGTTTTCTCTAGCCTGTGATATAAAACATAGATTAAAAACTATAAAATAACCAGACCAGACTCTGCCACTGTAGGGTAATTCTAGGTTCAATATGCTTTCTCTATGCTAAGTCCCAAAATGGCTAAAATTGAGATTTTTTATCTGATTAAAGTCAAATCTGTGTGAGGGAAACTCAGGTGTTCGCTGTATTTCTTTTTTCAACTTCTCCGTGGAGTTTAAAAAATTATGACAAAAATATTGGGGGATAAGGGTAAAATCAACATAAACCTAACTCATTAATAACCTGAGATTTAGTAGGATGGTATTAGCCCAGGTATTCATTTGACATCAGCCAGTTACCTACAGACTCAACCATCAAACCCCTAATAAAACCAAATGACCCATAAAAATCCAGGTGAAGAGGGGCTGGCCCTGTGGCCGAGTGGTTAAGTTCGCACGCTCCGTTGCAGGCAGCCCAGTGTTTCCTTGGTTCGAATCCTGGGTGCGGACATGGCACTGCTCATCAAACCACACTGAGGCAGCGTCCCACATGCCACAACCAGAAGGACCCACAACGAAGAATATGCAACTATGTACCGGGGGGCTTTGGGGAGAAAAAGGAAAAAATAAAATCTTTAAAAAAAAAAAAAAAAAATCCAGGTGAAGAGCATACAGTCACTGCATTACTCTTCCAGTTTTTCTACAGATAGGAAATTCTGCAAACTAAAATTCCCTTAAAAGGGATGGGGAACAGACAAATTTTAAAAGAATTCTTTAAAAAAATATATTGTTGCTTGTAGTACATTATATGATGACAGCTGTTACCTATTATAGTCATTCTTCTCCATAACTTTTTCATGGATGAAATAATATGAGTAGTTCCAAAAACCAGACCAGTTATGAGAAAACTCAGTAATATTTAGTTATCTGGTTAATAACATTATTAAGACTAAATTCAAAATAGTTTTAGTCTGTTTTTTTGAAAAAATGACACAGAGGGAGGGGCAGTTACTAAACACACAAAGAAGATATTCCAATCAAACACAAGCTGAAACAGGAGCGTGGCTGACTACCAGCCAAACCTCTGCTGTCCTTCCCCAGGGAGTCCTCTGGCTTACTCGGCAAAAGGACTTCTGACCTCTGCTCACATTTCTCACTGAACCTGTATCAGTACATGGTAAATAAAACCGACTGAACTTGGAGAAGGACCTCACCTTTAGGCAGGTCCTCCCCAGTGTGACACAGTGAATAAGGTGGTGCAATGGCTCGATCTCCCTTTTCATTATAAGGAAACCCAGGATAGAGTGGGTCTTGGTAAAGGCTCATTGTCTGAGGCAAAGGCATCATGGGCTGGTTAACTGCCTGTATTGACACAGGAACTGGAGAGGGTGTTAAATGAGCTTGGGACACAGCAGAATCGGGTCCAGTGGTCAGAGTCTGTGTCACAGACAAAACAGGAATTTGAGCAGGAACACCTACAAGAGAGGAAAAAGAATCAAAAACTTTATAAAGGTGAAAATAATTTTCCTCTACAAATATAAGTTTACACTAAGTTAAAATGTTAAGAATGCTAGAAGACAGCCTGGTGGCATAGTGGTTAAGTTCACACGCTCTACTTCAGTGGCCTGGGGTTCAAAGGTTCAGATCCTGAGCACAGATCTACACACCACTCATCAAGTCATGCTGTGGCACTGTCCCACATACAAAATAGGGAATGACTGGAATAGATGTTAGCTCAGTGGTAACATTCCTCAAACAAAAAGAGGAGGGTTGGCAACAGATGTTAGCTCAGGGCCAATCTCCCTCACCAAAAGAAAAAAAATAACAAAGTAAAGAATGTTGTACAATTGATATAGCTGGTAAAAAGGTGTGTACTTAAGCAGTGTAAAATACCTTTTCTATCAACCAAGGACCCTCCTGGACACAAAGGAGGAAATGAGCTCAGGAAACAAGCTGTGGGTCAATGTCTTCTAATAGTAGCTCTTATAAACATATGTAAGACATAGAGCCTGGCAAAGGGTTCAATGGGGGGCCATAAAGAGCTGGTCCATGAGGGATGCCAACAGTGGTGCCAGGGCTGAGAAACCAAAGCAACCAGTGGAGATAACCAGCTCAAACTTCCTACTCCTGGGATTCTGAAGGCTTATCTCAAATAAGTATCAAATGAACTTGGCCCTCCCACAGTGGACACACAACAAAGCAGAGGAGCACAAAAAGCTCTGTGAGGCTCCACACACCTAACCCTGCTCTGAGGTCAAGCTCTCACTCAAGAATTTGAAGTTTCTGACTTGGAAAGGCTTTTGTTGGCTGGTTTATTGGATTTTTAAAAATCTTATCTAACCTGTTGGTCCAAAAGTTGTAGGTTCACTTGGCCAGGCTGGCACAGTGGCTGGTAAAGAAGGCACCGCAGGAGTTAGATGTACCTCTGGAGAAACTAGAAGGGGAGCTGGATTTGACAAAGACACGTGTTCTGCTGGCTTCTTCAACAAGAGGGGTGGAAAAAGACAAGAGTTCATTTCGCTTAACACTAATTTTAACGACCAAATATATACCTTGAGTTGCCTACCTTTTACACAACTGCAGTTTCTATATAAACGGTCTTTCTGGTCTTAGAAATGAAACAGAAAAACACAGTAGCTAAAAATTCCACACAAACAAATTTGATCCTAACCAGAGACTGCCTACCAAAAGTCAAAAGTCACTAGCAGAGTTAGAAACAAACTGTAAAGCAACTTGAATGCACTGCTTTTAAGGCAAAATGACCTTGAAATTCATGAGTCTAGAACAGCGCCTCACTCAAAGATATACCATGAAATTATGTGCTTTCTGACACGAAGGATGTAAACAGAAAGGCAAGGACTCAGACCATTCTCTACTCCTGTGTTAGACCAAGAGCCAAAATGTGTGCTAGAACTCGGTGCGTCATCATTAAATTGGTAAATTGGTGCACTGCTTTTTAAATGTATATTTTTCTAATCACTCCAATCATTACATACCCTCCCTTCTATGAAATAACTTAAGGGTACAGACAACTCTTTTGTAAAGTTTTGAAATAAAATAGAAATTCATAATTTCCCTTCAAAAATCTAATTTTCAAACCAACTCACCGGAAAGGCAACACAAGGTAGCAAGTACAAACTTATTCAAAATCAACTCAGAAGAATGGCGTCAATGTCCAGGAAACGGTGATTAAAAAAATAACACTCCATAAAAACCGAGAACATTCTAGACTAACCAACAACAGAATTAAAGAAAATTCATAACTACACCCAAATTATGATGCTAAAATAAACGTTCCTATTTTCTATACAGATGTTTCCTGTTTTTAAATGATCATATACACACAGCTAAGAAACCCAGAAAATGGAGCGCTCGATGTCAAATGCAACAATATACTTACTTGTTCTGCAGGAGGTGGGCACTCCAATTTCTTTGACTTTGACGGTGATGAAACTCTTGCACATTTATCATCACTAATATTCTTTGGAAGCAAAAAAAAATAAGGGTAATTTTGTATTTCAAAGACCCACATTCTAGGAGAATCATGGTTGCCTTATAGTTCACCCCACCTGCACCTGACTGAACCCTCTCACGACTGTTTTTTCAATTATATCTGGTTCCCAACAGGTGGTGACTTTGCCTGTGTGTCTTCATGATATCAAAGTACTGTACGGGCCACCATTGTTACTGTGGGCATAATTTCAAAACAGCACGTTCTTCCTTTAAAAATCTCAATCTACTACAGAGTAATGGGAAGTACAAACTACTTTCCACCAGTTTGGACAGGTTGTCATACTGTACCCTTGAAGAAATGGTTATATCTGTGAGTGAATTCTCCTCAAGCACTGTCATCTCTCCCCAATTTTTTTTCTCTGCTTTTCTACTTCCCTAACACTTAAGATATAAAATGATGACATCATCTCCATTTCCTCCTTCTACTTCTTCCTGCTATACTATCACAGTGTTAAGGAAAAAGAAAAGATGCAATGAGCATTTAAAACGTGTACCTCCAATGTGCTTGGCTCGGGTTTTTTATCCAAGTGAACATGCCCATGGATAGAGTCTGCAACAGATCAAGAAAAAAGACAGCATCAGCCACTAGTCAAGTTCGACAACAGAACAACAAAATATGAAGACAGAGAAAGCCAAGGGCTATCTGAAACATGTTTAGTCAGCAAATAATAGTTCTCAGAATGACATTTAACATGCTTTAGCTTGAGTTAACGTTTCTCTGCCACCATGAGATATGTGACAATAAACTGCTCCCTGATTTCAAAAGTAAGGGTTCTCTTCCCAATGTCTAACTTTAAATCAGACACAGATCTCTAGCATCTGCATTCAAATAATGAAGTAACACACCTTTATCTTTTCGTTCTTCGGGATCCCCTCTCCGCCTGCTTCCTTTTCTGTCACCCACATGTGATGATTTTCTCTGGACGCATGGGTTGCTGCTCTGAGAAGCTGACTGACTAACTGATGAGCTCTTAAAATGAACAAAACCCCACACTTTGTGTTAAAGATTTACCCACAAATATATGAACAAAAATCTTATAATCTTACTCTTAAAACATCTGAATAAAAATCTTAAAATTCATAGCCCTATATCATTACACTTCTGAAACTACAAAAAAAAGAATCTAGGTTTCCTATTTAATTATATACACTACAGTAATAGGCTTATTAATAAGTTGAAGTACTAGGCCATCAGACCCTGGGCATAAATTAGTAGTAAGACTTCAAATCCCCATCTCGGGGAGCCACCCTGACCAAATGTTCACCTTGCAACTTACACTTACATTCTTTGCACAAAGAATAGCACCCTTCACACCAACCTTCAAAAGTAGCTGTTATACAGCCTTTGTGGGAAAAAACAGCCAAGTGCAAAGAGAGACAGTGCACTGGATTCTTATCACTGAAGTGCTACTGACTGTCAATCACTTAAGCACTGCATGAGATCCAACCATCTCATTGTTGAAACAAAGGGACTGGACTAAGTCAGGTTTTTAAGCTGAAGTATCACTAAGGCCCTTTCCGCTTCCAGCACTCTGAGAGAATGCAGCACAGCTGAGACAGGATCTCAGCCCTCTGTGGCAGGAGTTTTCTAGAAGACAAACCCGAGTCACAATCAAGTCCAAGAAAGAATCAAACTGCCTAGTCTAAGTACGAAGACCCCATTTTAACAATCAAAAAATTTTACAATCTATTCCCACATGACAGAAGTTGTATTTTTATCATTTCCAAATTGAAAAAAAGGACAAAAAGCTATGAGTACAACCGTAAATGATCTGTAGTTTTTTACTAACTAAATGTTATGGGAAAATAACATATGACATAAAGATAAATATACTTAGCATACAGACCATGCCCAATTCATATACGGACGTGGGCACTTCTTCCAACCCCTGTGCAAGACTGAACTACTATTCCAGATCCGCTGCTTGCAACTGAGCATCTCACACCTCTAAAGGATTCCACAAAGGCCAGAGAACAGAGAATTGTGGTGTGGGGCCCTAACATTTTATATACCAGGTAGCCTTCTATAACATTCCATTTTGTTTGTTTCATCCACTGTTAAGAAAAAGTGTCCAACCACCATTCTGGATCACAAATTATTTGGTACCACTTACCAATATTTAAAAGAACATAGGCTCAGGACTCCCAGTGCCCCCAAACTGAACCAGTTACCCCTCCCCTGTGCTGCCAATGAACCCTCCCCACAGAACCCTCCCCTCAGTAAAGAGCATTTACTTCACTCTACATGAGAACTGTCTTCCCTTCTGACTCCTCCAAAACAATTAAGAAACCTAAAGGTAGAGAACATTTCTTTCATCAACCCAGTGTCCAACACACAGAGCAAAGGTGAAGCCACAGGGTTACATATACTATCACCTCCAAGAGGAAACACTCAGAGTGACAGCTCTTATTAGACAGTCTAGGTTATTAGGTCCTTGTATGTTTAATAAGGAACAGTGATTTTATAGATGTATCTTGTTAACTGAATCATGAACTTCTACTGCATATTACTCTAGCTAGCAAAATAAATGTGTTTTGGTTCAAAAGAAAATACTAAACTAGAAGTGAGGTAACCAATTTACTTGCCTCAACTCTGCCACCAACTAGTAATGTCTTTAGACCTAATCTTCCTCATAAAAAATGTGAAAAGGAGGGACAACTACATGATCTTTAAGATACCTTTCAGTTTAAAAAGATTTAGTCTTACCATTAGAAACTATGGCTTAATATAAAAACTGTATTAAGGAGAGACTTTTAAGTGATAACTTTTAAAATCTCTATTATACATACGGAAAGGGCTGGGAAAGCCTGTTCATCTCTGTTCTGAATCTCATAGAGTAAACGAGATTCTTCTATAGCTTGCTTCTCTCTGCGCTCTTCTGGGGAGAGGCCAAAATAGTTCGATTCTCGACTCGCGTGATCAGAATCCTCAGCTCTCTCACGATCAGGTTTTCTGTCAAATAAAACATTCTTGTCATGAGAAAAAAAAACAAAATGTACTGCGTACCTAAAATAAAATAGCCGTTTTTGGAATACAAATATTTGACTAATTTAGCTATACTGTGATTATTATTCAACTTTTGGCATCCTGATAATAAATGTTTAGCAAATGAAGTCCCTATAGCATTAGGATATGTTAGAGTTAAGAAGACAAACTTACAATAGGTGGAAAAATTTAAAAAGAAAAAGAAATATATAACTCACTTCCAAGTGATACAGAAATAATTCAGATTTTTTTTTTTTCCTTTTCATCAGGACAGAAATGTAAAGCACTGTCTATATTCTTTATGCCATCTTCCAATACTTTCATAAGAATTCACTTTCAAAAGAAAGGGAAAGTTATTAGTTTAGGTATCAAAAGCACTGCAATTTTTTAAGTAAGGGGAATGCTCAGAGGAGACACTTGGTCCATCCTCCTGCTTTCTGATGACACCACTAAGGGAGATGGAAAGGTGGGATGAAGGAAAATTAGGATGTACCAGGCTAGATACTAACTGCACAGATAAGACTGCTGTCATCTCAATATAGTTTTGATCAATGAAGGATGACAAATTAATGAATAGAGTCCAGTAGCCTATAACATAGTTATCTTAGTGTTAAGGCAATATAAAGACCATTTCTACTATGTCTAACAGTTCCACAACAGTGGGAAATGAAAATCTAAAACCCACAGGAAAAATACGTCGTCACAATACAAAGAGATATAATCTTTCTAAAAAGAGTGGGAAGAACACAATGATACCATCTGGCTTTTTTTACCTCCGAAATAAAGAACAGTCACTTCACGTGCTCAAATAGTCCCACTTAAAATCATACCCTAATTCCAACAGGGAAAATGTCAACCCAAATGATACTAGGGAAAAAAAAAAGTAGGAGAGCAAGTCGGGCCCCTTATAATCTTATACTAGTCCTTCTCAAAATCCAGTGGGAGAAGACTCCAAAGAAGACTGAGCAAGCAACAGGAGTCTCGGGAAAGTTAACAGCACCTTACCACCATGTCGCCTCACCCTAAACTGTCCATCTCATCCCCACCCACCACACAGAGACGCTAACTGGAGGAGAGGCATTGAGCAATGACACTACTATCATTTTCAGCACTTGCATAATGAAAGCATACATGGCAGTCCTGCCTGGTTTTTGTTATATTTCTTTTTGTTTTCTCCAAAGGAAGAGACAGTATCAATGAGAAAGAAATGAAAAAGTCACAGTTCATGAAGGTCTCATGCCCAACATTACAATTCTTTTATTCTGTAACTAGAATTCAAAACTCATGTGTTACACAGTAGAAAGAAAGTCAAGATAAACTCTAATGAGCTTAAATCAATTGGACTATTAGCTATAAAATTCTAAACTTTGCCTAGATTCAAAAAAAATCTTAAATATTTAATCAGCAGTCACTAAATTTGTCTGAATATACTAGTAAACTTTACTCTGGCAGCCACAGTGAATGCAGACAAACTGCAGATACAACTAGGTTGCTATATAATCTGTCACAATGTCAAAAATAATTCTCTAAAGTTTCATATCTATATTATTACCCACTGTGTTCTGCCAACTTGTGTTTTTCTATACCAAGTAATACATAGCTAACACATAAAAAAGAAAAGGATCCTAAGAAGACAGACATTTCACATCTGTCTGACCATTCTACCAACTCCCAGCAGATGGGATATGACACCAGAAACACACTGGATACAAATTCAGTTTGTGGTAAACAAAAGCATATTTAAATTAGCTATTTAGTAGTCTGTGTGTACCTTCTTTTTTAATCTTTAAGACACTACAGGGTATCCCTGTGTTCAAGGGGACAAAAATGCTTCTTTTAAGAAATGAGAATTTTATTAAAGAAAAGTCTCATTTCTGCCTATGACCTTCCTATATTTACTTCATATTTTTAGGTTTCCAAAGTCAATATTCAAAATAGGTTAGTCCTCCTAGGTACTTTGCTTGCATTGGGCAGGACGTCACCAGATGCTAATGAGTGGAATCTGGTCAATGTCCAAACAACTGACTTCAGCCTCCAATAGTCGATTAACAGCACAAATTCTGTTTCTTGGGAGAGGTAACCCACCATGGGCCCCGGAGGTCCCTTCACATTGTTGCGGGGTGTGTCAAGAATGCAAAGCCTCGACCATTCTACTCAGGCCAATGTTCAGGGTCGTGTTTGCAGTGACCAACTTCAAGGGATCAGGTAACATCTTTCTTCTGATTTTTGAATCACTTGTTCTCATTAGAACTTTTGGAAAACTGGATTATGAATATGCAAGTACTTTTTACACATGTAAAAAGTATCCCTGGGAGGATATGCAGGAGTCTGTTAACACTAGATGCCTCTGCAGAAGGAAACCAGATCACTGGGAAAACAGGGATAGGAAGAAGAATTATCACAATAAAGAAACTTTTGAATATTTTCGATTTTGAACAATATCAATTAATTTCCTATTCTAAATAGTTTGTTAAACTAAAAAGAAAAATGTAATATATTTGAAGTATTGGTATTCATTACAGATGGAACTGTGTCTCCCAAAAAGATATGTTCAAGTCCTAACCCCTGGTACCCGTGCCTGTGACTTTATTTATAAAAAGGGTTGAGTCATCAACTCAAGGTCATACTGGAGAAAGGTGGCCCTAAACCCAATGACTGGTGTCCTTATTAGGAGACAGACAGACCCACAGGGAGAACACCATGTGATGATGGAAGCAGAAATGGGAGCGATGTATCTACAAGCCAAGGAACACCAAGGGCTGCGGACAACACCACAGTAGGAGGGGCGCAGGGAACAGATTCTCCCCTAGAGCCTTCAGAGAGAGTACGGCCCTAGTGACAACAAGAGCTCACACTTCAAGCCTCCAGAACTGTGAGAGAATACCTTTCTGTTGTTTTAAGCCATGCAGTTTGCGGTACACCTTGCTACCACAACCCCAGGAAACTAACACAGGACTAGTAACATGTCAGCCTAAGAACCTAAAATTCTGTCTTGAAGATGTTACATACACTATATTTAATGTCAAAATGTTAAGTACATTCCCAAGAAAGGGGAATGCCTAAACGCCAGAAATTAAGGAACTAACGACCAGAGCTTGGCAAGCACACATACTGAAGCTACAGCTGTTCAGACAATTGGGGAGAGGGAGCTTGGGTGGAGACGGCATTAGTCACAGTAACCAGGAGGGCCCCAGCACGCGCAGGCCAAGTGTGCATGAAGATGACAGCCTCAACTTAAGGCACGCTTTCTTGGGCTGGCCCAGTGGCGCAGCAGTTAAGTTCGCACGTTCTGCTTCTCAGCGGCCCGGGGTTCGCCGGTTCAGATCCTGGGTGTGGGCATGGCACTGCTTGGTAAAAGCCATGCTGCGGTAGGTGTCCCACATATAAAGCAGAGGAAGATGGGCATGGATGTTAGCTCAGGGCCAGTCTTCCTCAGCAAAAAGAGGATTGGCAGTAGTTAGCTCAGGGGTAATCTTCTTCAAAAAAAACAAAAAAGCCACGCTTTCTCACATAAAGCTCCTCCAAAGGGCATAAACCCCTCTGCAGAAGAGCAGATTAGAGAAAAAATAAAATTCACAGCACAGGAAACTATGACCCTGAAGTTCATCTGTCTCTGGATGCTCAGTGAGAATGCTAATATTCGTGATCACATTAACCTAAAACTGTAGCCCGGTTCAGTATTAGACCCATAACCACCAACAATCCAAACTTATCAGAACAAAGTAAACCAACTATTTTGGTCGATTCAAGTTCATATATAAAGAACACCCTCATCCTCCAATGAATTAGAAATGCAACTTGGAATTCAGTACTTAACACAGTGCAAGCTACCAGAAAACTATTAAGTGCCAGAATAAGATTTGGCTTGGATAAGATCTCCTAAATCATTTGAAAAAAAATATACATGCTTTACCCTACAAAATTACCTTGATTTGTTTAAAGAGAATTATAAAGGACTGAAATCCTCACGTGGTATTTTGTCAACAATATTTTTAATATTATGCTACAGACAAGTACATGAACACAAAATTGTAACTATTTAAATGTAATGTGGCAAATAAAAGAAATGCCCCTCAATTCTTACTTCTCTTGCATTCAGGAAGGTTACCTTATGATCTGTGAGGGTGTCCTGCTAAGATTTTTGTGCTCACTGGAGGGTTTCTGAGACGGAGACCCTGCAGGATGAGTGGAGAAGCCATGCTGTCTCACTCCTGAGGGCTGCTGCAGCCGAGGAGGTAGTGCTGAGGGGGCTTTTACTGGCTTGCCTGGATTCTTTGGCCCTCTGTAATCCATGTCTGTGACAAGAAGTCAAAAATACCTCATAAACTTTCCTATTATAAACAGCTCCAAGTACCATCCCCACCACTCTCACCCCCCAACTGTAACTCAATGTGCTCCTACCAGGATGGAAGTTTTGTCCGGAAGTAGAAGGTTTTTTCATCTTCTTCCCTGACACTGTGTTCCAGCTTTCTAAGGGAGGTGGTTTGAGATTCTTCGGTGAGTGTCTTCATGAGGAAGAAAAACATTTGTAATAACTTTAAGTATTCCTAGTAAGACTATCTACGTAAGTATTGTGCATAAATATTTTATTTTCAACTTCTGTAAGAATTTCCAGTTTTAGTTGTTATATTAAAAATTAAAATACAAAACATTTAGCAACCCAGATGCAATTCTAATCAAATAAGATGACATACATCAAAAGCATATTCTCTAACCTAACAAAACAGAAGGCTAAAAGGCCTTAATGATAATCTAAGCAAAAGATGAGACAAAGAAGGAATGGCTGTTACTGTTAGCTGTGACGATGGTACTGTAGTTGAGGTGGGGAAAGGGAGTCCTCACCGTGCTAGAGACACATATAAAGATCTGTTTCTGTAAGAACTGGTGTGATGTCTGGGATTTGCGTCAAAATATTCCAAGTCCATCCCCATTTAAAAAGGAAAAAAGAGGTTAGGGAGAATAGATTAGAAAAGATTGCCAAATGCTGTTAGCTGCTGAAACAGGGTGATGGTTATATTGAGGGTCCCTGTACTATCCTCCTTATATCTGAGTGTGAAATTGTCCATTGTGAAGTTTGGGTGTGATTTACCACCTTTTTCTCTAGTAAACGCAGCAGCAACTGAAACAAAAGGTGCTCTAAAGTAACAACGTGTAACAGAAAGTCAACCACGATATTTTACTCTCCGTCTGACAAACAATGACTGAAAACTAACTACATATGCAACACAGAGCTGAATGAAAGCAGAAGTGAATGTGGGCCCTATCCCCCAAACCTCCCACTTGATAGTGACAATATACTCAATTTCCCAAATTGCCTTTGTGAAGCATGGCACATTTTAAACAAGCAACAAAACAAGTATTTTTATTTAAATATTTCAACGTGCAAAACACTAAATTTGAACTCAAACTTCTTTCTCAAAAGATCTAAATAAATATATTTTCTACACGTAGACAATACCTTTTAATTGACTTCGCAAATACACAGTGCCATTTAAAAATGCTCATGATTACATTTGGCTAAATGGAAGAGACAGGAGAAGAGTGGTACATACTTCTTTCCAAGTTCTTCGACCAAAACTGGTCCGTTCTCAGAGTGAACACCTTGAAAGTCTACATTAGAAAATTTTCCATTGTGATCCAACCTAACCTGTTGAACAATCCCAGAAACAAAAATCAGTCACCTGCTCCCTTTGCATTAATGATCAGGTTTTAAATTTTTATTTTGTTTTCAATTAAGGAGAAAATGAATGTATATCGTTAAAAACAAAACAAAGTTCAAAAGGGTGCACAGTAATATCTGCCTCTGACCTCCCAGACCTATGCATCTCTACCCAAAAAACTTTTCTTTGTTTACCCTTCCAAAATTTTTCTAAATTGTTTTTCTAAATAGTTCAAAGAGGGGCTGGCCCAGTGGCGCAGCAGTTAAGCGCGCACGTTCTGCTTCTGTTGCCCAGGGTTCACTGGTTCGGATCCCGGATGCGGACCTACGTACTGCTTGTCAAGCCACGCTGTGGTAGGCATCCCGTCCCACATATAAAGCAGAGGAAGATGAGCACGGATGTTTAACTCAGGGCCAGTCTTTCGCAGCAAAAAGAGGAGGATTGGCAGCAGACGTTAGCTCAGGCCTGATCTTTCTCAATAAATAAATAAATAAATAGTTCAAAAAGAAGAGCACAATCAAATAAGGCTCCAAATGTTAGCTCAGGGCTGATCTCCCTCAATAAATAAATAAATAAATAGTTCAAAGAGAAGTACGAGCACAATCAACTCAGGCTCCAAACAAGAGAGGTAGCACGTCCTGGTTCTGAACCAGGGCTATGGCACCATACACACTAGGATTCAAGGCCCACTCTTCTACTTACCAGCAATATGACCTTAGGCAAGTTACTTATCTCAATTTCAGTGTCCTCATATGCAAAATCGGGCTAATAATAGTGCCTACATCATAGGACTCGTGGAGATGGAATGAGGTACATATGATATATGTAAAGGACACCAACTAGCACACAGCAACCACTCTAGACGAGAGCAACTATTATTATAACTACTATTATCTTCTCACTTTTCCAATATTTAAAATGTGTTAACTGTGACCTTTTTTCTCCCTAAAAATAGATCCACCATCTGTTCTCTAATAAACAATCGGTTTTAGCCAATAGCAAATCATGACAGAACAGTAAGCCTTTAGATTTCTTTCTGTGGTCAGATGGCCCCCATCGATCAGGGCATCTGCCAATCCTGCACTAGGATCACCACGCTGGGAGCCCAGGGTATGCAGCATGACTTTAAGCAACCTCCTACTTTTATTAGCAGATGAGAGTCCTCAAGCTGAGGTTTCATTCTTCATCAACCACAACAGGACACTTTGCCTTCCTCTCTTCAAAAGTTTAACAATAAAAAAGATTTTTCTAAAGTTAATTTTGATAAAGTTTAAAATACATCTAACATGCTTACTTGAGTAAACAAAAGTCACCTTTGAATCACAGCAGTTTCCATAATAAAATTTCAAAGAAATTTTAGCCAAGTGAAATAGTTAAGTAGTAGAAATCGAAACAAAATACTCTAAAAAGGAAAAAATTAAAACAAGTCTCTGCTTTACCATCTACTTTATCAACAGCATCTACTTTACCAAAAGCAACTGAAACCTCAAAGGAAATACGCTTGATTTAAAATAACGACTAAGATGATTTTAGTGATGCAACATAAGATAAGCAACCTTCTCTTCTCTGTTGGGGCTGGGTGGTGAGGGACGGGGAAGCCCTAAGCCCTGGGTTCCTTCTTCTAAGTTTTCCAAATCTCTTGTAAAAGATACCACAATTCTGTTCGGCCATCAGAGCACACTTCTGACAAGCCTGTAGGGAAGAACCTAAATGAATCATATTCTCTTCTTCCTCTCCTTTCAAATACCCTCGAATCAGAACAATAGTAAAAGTTCTTAAGGTAAAGTCTGTCACTTTATGCCCAGATATAATCCTGGTCAATCAGATACTTTTCACAAACCACTTCATCATAAAGGAAATGAGTGTTTCCGTCATAAGTCAAGAAAAAATGTTTGTCAATAGCTATTTTAAAGTAGTTGGGTTTTTTTTAAGTTACTTTATTTTATTTTATTTTTCTTGCTGGGAAAGATTCGCCCTGGGATAACATCTGTTGCCAATCTTCCTCTTTTTACATAACCTGCCTGTACAGCATGGCTACTGGGCTACTGACAGACAAGCGGTGCGGTTTTCGCCTGGGAACTGAACCCAGGGCTGCTGAAGCGAAGCGTCCTGAACTTTAACCACTACGCCACCAGGGCTGGCCCCAATGTAGTTTTAAAATGGCAAACCATTTAAAATAGAAACCATTTTTGATGAAAATTACCTTTCAAATAGCAATATTTTTGTGCATGTGCGTTGTTTCTGTTTTGGAAATAGTAGTACCTTTTCAAAAACAATGAACAAAAAAGGGACCTTGGAAATTATCTTATTGAGTTTCTCTAGCCTTGGTTTGACTGGACCAGATAATTGGCATTATTGGGAGCAGATAATTCTTTGGGGGCAGGGAGGCGTCCTGTGCACTGTAGGATGGTCGGCAGCATCCCTGGCCTCTACCCACTAGATGTCAGTAGCACCTTCCCAGCTGTGACAACAAAAAATGTCTGCAGACGTTGTTGGGGGGGGGTGCAAAATCATTCCAAATTAAGAAACACTGACCTAACCCAACCTTCCACTTTAACAATCAACTACTTAAATGCACAGCGGCAGCTCACTCACAGTAAATGGCACTCTCCTTACTATTCACTAGCCTTTCTCAATCCAAGAGAAAAATATTATCTATCCATCAAAATCTTCCAGGATTACTTTCATAAAGAAAACAAATTATAACGTCAAGTTTGAATCACCTTCAGTAAATTATCTGCCAAGTGTAATTAAACTTCCTTCTCTGAAGCAAGTAATATCAGAGAGTGACTCGTTAAAGATCATGCGATGGGATGCGATAGTTTTAGATACATAGAATTTTGGTTATGTATTCAAACGGGGCAAAAAGCTAAACATTTAAAACTATTAAAATGTATACAAGATAAAACATTCTGAAATCTTAAATTAACAACACAAACGTGAGCTGTTTTCTTGGTTCCTATTGGAATAAGTAAGATTTCAAGTAAAATCTTTTCTTCCTCTATATAATCACTTACTTGGCATTTATCTCCAACTTCATACTGTAAGCCAGCAGCAATGGAATAGTCACGTTTCTGTTGAGCTGTAAAACACCAGTATATATCAAGTTGACTTAATTATTTTCAAGCACCCACAAATAAAATTTATGGAAAATGCAGATTTTTTAACTCACCTTGTTTAGACTTCAGCCAAATTTCATACTCCACATTTCTATAGACTGCTGGATTGAGTGACTTAAGAACCTTTCTAGACAAACGCAGGTTAGGAGAGTTCCCATTGTTTTTCAGGTGCTAAACAAACAAAGTCAGGAAGTCTGATCAACACAGAAACGCTTTTACAACATTTTCGTTTGAGCTATATATGAGTACAATCAAATGAAGCAGAAAACTTCAAAAATTAAGAAGTCAGCCAAAAAGTTTCTTACTAGATGATCCTGCCTCTATTGAAAAGGTACCAGAAAAAAAGAAAAGAAAACTACAAAGAAATACCTGATCACTCGACAAAGCTTTCAACCCATTCACATCATTAGCAGCGGCAGCTTCACTCCTACAAAGGAAGAAACAGAACCATAATTAGGAGCACAAAATGCATCTGCATGCATTTAACTTCTTCCAACCTCATAGAAAAATCTCAGAAGTCAGCTATATTACAAAAAGCCAAAGCTGTATTCCAAGAAGCTCCTAAGAGTTTTAGCATAAGTGTGCACGGATGTGTGGGGGTGTTATGTGTATGTGTACATGTATATGTAAGATGTAAGTCAAAGATTTATATCCGTACCTCTTACTGGCTGAATCACCAGAAAAAAAGAAAGAGAAATAAACTGTGAAATCTGGGTGGATAGAATAATTGAGTTTATAAAACATTCAATGTAAAAATTTCCTTTCAATGTATAAATGAGGCTCCATTAGACAAAATATTCCACTACAACAAGATGTACAATCTAATGAGATGAGATACAACTATGAAATCAGTAAGTTAAATGCTAATAAGTGCTATGGGGTAGAGGGAGGGAGGAAGAAATGATAGTGTTGAGAAGGAGGCTCAAATAATAAAAAGTGGGATGAGGAAAGAACCTGCTGAGACATCTTTTTGAATACAGAATTAAAGATGATGAGATAGCAAACCATATGGATACTTAGTATTCCAGGCAGAGGGTACAGCAAGTGCAAAGACCCTGGGGTAGCCAAGAGGCTGGAGATGCTGGAACAGAGTGATGGCAGGTCAGATGAGAGATGAAGTGAGAGGCTACCTGTACTCTTCTCTCCTACAATTCCTCCTTAATAAATCAATCTCTAGTCTTCAGAACAATCTCTAAGTCTATACCCTTAAATGCAGCAATGTTTAAGAGACCCCAAGTATCTAGAGTCTAGACTAAAAAAGCACCCATAATTTTCAGTACTTCAGGATTGACCAATATGAATGTGACAAGAATCCAGGCACAAGACTATAGTGACATCATTGTACCTTCCTCCTTATTACCACACTATGCCTATTTATCCTGCCACGATTATGTGACATTCTTCCCTAGCTGAAGCCTTGCCCTCCCTACACCAGACATTACACAAGTAAAAAGAAATCTTAATAATGCAACGAAAAGTTAATTAAAAAGGCTCCCATGTCCAAGGGGCACAACAGTACAGTATAAAAAGAAAAACTGAGCATTACAACGTGCACATCCTCCCTGGTAAACTTCTCCAGGCTGCTAGCCTTTACTCCATGTTTCACTGCGACTGCCGTCCCAGACCCAGCAATTGCTAAAACTATTAGCAGCAGCAACCACGAAGCATGTGCTGGAAGGCCGCCTACACCACTCACAGGTGTAAGACAACAAGCTAATCATTCTGTCCCAACTCCCTGTCTGCTCAATTACACATCTGAATCAGACAGGTGCCTGGAGAAAACCATGGAGCAGAATTTCTATCTGTGCAAAATTAATTAGTCTATTCTAGGATTATATTTACAATGGCAGACCCAGATTCTAACCTAAGTGACTCATTTCTTTCTTACAAAGAAACGGTAGTCAATCAAATCTTCAATCAGGATCAGAAAAATTTAATTCAACAAACGCCTAGAATTACAGATAAAAGCAGATATATTTAAGTATTTAATGAAGAATTAGATATCCTAAGGCTTAATTTCATTCCTTTCTCTAGTTTCACAGTATGTGACACTAAGTAGGATACTTTCATATTCTTAGACAAGAGAAATAACACACTTATAGCTTCACTGGGAATGGAATAGGCTTGGTTCTTATATAAACTTATTAATATTACTGATAAAAACTAACATATGTTGGACACTGTATCTATCAACTAGGCTATGCACTTTACAGGTTATCTCATTTAATTCTTACAAATTCTCCCTTTCGAGGAAATACTAATATATCCTCAGTTTATAGCTACAGAAGTGAGGCTTGTTAGTGAATTTAAGTAACTTCCCCCAAGTCTAGTTAGTAGGCAGGAAGCCAGGTCTGAAACCAGGTTTGGAAGTCCGCAGCCCAAGCTCTTAACCTATGCATCCAGGTTAAGATTATACTTAACCTCTAATCTAAACTACCCCACACAGCCTGTGTGGAAAAGAAAAATAAGACTCAAGAGACTACAAGTTAAAAGGTGCTTATTCACAACCTAAAGAGTGGCATTATCCAAAGCTGTTCACATACCTATATCCCAACTTGGGATTTTTATTATCTAAAAAGAAAAAGAAGGGGGCCGGCCCCATGGCCGAGTGGTTAAGTTCACACGCTCTGCTTCAGCGGCCCAGGGTATCACCAGTTCAAATCCTGGGCGCAGACTCGGCACCACTCATCAAGCCACGCTGACAAGGCGTCCTACATGCCACAACTAGAAGGACCCACAATTAAAAATGCACAACTATGTACCAGGGGGCTTTGGGGAGAAAAAGGAAAAATAAAATCTTTAAAAAGAAAAAAAGAAAAGAGAAAGAAAAAGAAGTAGCATTATCTAAGACAAAATTTTAAAAAGTCAAGGAAATCAAAATGGCCATTTTTTCATCACAGGATATGTAAATAATTGACAGGTTAACCTTAAAATTTTACAATACATGCACATATAGGTAAGACCAAATCTATTCTACAGATACTCATCTAGATTACACAGAAATAGATTCTTATCAACCAAAACATCAACTTTCAAAAGAAAAAGTCCTGCAATAGAAATCAGGTAAAATTAGTGACAGGGAAAAAGAATCTTCCACCACAGGCTGCTGTATTTTAGGAATACCATAATATCTCAACATGCGAGGCAACTCTAGGCAGGAACATTTATTGAACATTTACAGCACTATAAAGGTATTTCAGGACCTAAATTCATTCTTACTTGCAACTATCATCCTCTGAATCTGATATTTCACTGTTGTTTTCATCAGCTACTTCGGAGGTGTCTAGTCCCATCAAGATTTTACTAACATCAGTTTTAAATACCTTCTCATAGAGCAATTCATAAAGGAGAGCTGCAAGTAACAAGAGAGAGATGTTATGCAATATTAACTAATTTTATATTCTAACATAAAATTGAGATTGTCTATCACTGAGACTTCTAAAATCTTAACTGACACTTGCAACATCTTATGGTCAAAACACAATTTAATCAGAAAGTTACGCAGATAGAGAACAACTAGAATCTCGGTGTGTGCAGTTAATGAGTTCAAAATCATCTTAGGAGATACTGCCATTTTTAAAACTAACAAAAACAGAAAAAGGGTCACCACTGTGAAACAAGCATGACAGTAAAAGTTAAACATAAAAATTGAGCAATTACTCCATTCTACGCACTGTGCTAAGCCTTTACATATCTTCGTATTTAATCCCAGCACAGTGAAGTATTATTCTTCTAACTGTACAGATGAGAAAACTGAGAATTAGAGATGTCATACAACCAGCCCAACCCTAAGAGCCTTGGATGGAAAACATTAAGATTGCTAGAAAGAGGATAACTTTTCATTAGGGACTAAAAAGAAACTGTTATAAAATGTATTCTCAGCAGCCACTGAAGGAAAGAAGGCTATTTGGACAACTTTTCTGCTTTAAAAAAAAACAACTCCAAAACATGGAAATAAAGATTAGTAAACGGAGTTTAGGAGTCTACACATGGAGTTTAGGACTCTCATTTGGTTCTATTACAGTAATCTTTATGAAAACAAGTACACTAAGAATTCACCCACGATGGGTGCCCACCCCCTACATGAGTCCCCAGAGACCTCCTTCTCACAGACCATCTTTCTTCCAACCCTATTATCATCCAAACCACAGGCACTGAGAAAGCACAAGAAAGGGAGGCTCCAGGAGCTGAAGCATCCAGATTTTGCCTAGCTGGGAAAGGAGGACGACACAGCCCAGGACACACACAGGTAGACTTTCCTATCTCAAAATACAATCAATCAATTTTTTAAAAATCTGCATTACACATATCTTTCCCGGTCACCACTAGCTTAAGAGGAAAGAGTTGTTACGTGTCCAGCACTGCTGCTTTGTATGCGTGGTGTGCACTCTGTCAGACCAGATGACAAAGGATGTGAAGGGTGGCAGCAAGGAAGGAACTACTAGAGTAGTGATTCTCAGTCTGGGAAGGAGAGGGGATTTCATCCTCCCAGGAAATATTTGACAAGATCTGGAGACATTTTTGATTGCCACGTGGGAGAGAGAAAGCTGCTGGCAACTACTGTGCAGAGGTCAGGGATACTAGCAAACATCCTACGATGCACAGAACAGCCCCCACCACAAAGAAGTTTCTGGCCCAAAATGTCAAACAGTGCCAACGCTAAGAAACGCTGCTCTAGAGCCAAATACAACCAAATGCTTGATTTGCTCATTTACATTTTCAAGTTACACACTAACAACTTTAAAAATACATACAAATCCTTATTACTAACATTATTTGGCCAGCCTAGCAGTGTAGTGGTTAAGTTTTCATGCTCTGCTTTGGTGGCCCAGGTTTCACAGGTTTGGATCCCACGTGCAGACCTACACACTGCTCGTCAAGCCATGCTGTGGCAGCATCCCGCACAGAAAATAGAGGAAGATTGGCACAGATGTTAGCTCAGGGCACATTTCCTCACAGTCACACACACACACAAATTATTTACTGCAGGAAAGAAATAACTTTGTATTTACAAGTCAAACTCTAGCACCTAACTCCTTTTTTTCTGTTGAAACAAGTTTTTATTATAGTATTAATATTTTGGGTAACCTACGGTTCTTAGAAATATCTTTTTATACAACAGAGTATATTTGCCCTGATTTGTTTCGTATTAAGACTGTATAGCTTGGGAATATAATTTCCTATACAAACAAATGGGTGATACTTACACTGACACATGGCAGAGCTCTCTTTATACTTTATGGGATAGACAATATCATAATGATTTCCATTTGAAAAACACAGTAATACCTGAAAAGGAAAAATAAAAGACACCTTTCAGCCCCTCATATAAAGTGGAGGAAGAGTGGCACAGATGTGAGCTCAGTGCCAATCTTCTTCAGCAAAAAAAAAAAAAAAAAAAAAGGAAGGAAAAAAGAGACAAAAGACCAAGAAAATATTCCACAACCTTACTAATGCTTACCTCTAAGAGGCAGAATCAAAAGAAAATTTTTTCTGCTTCTTTACAGTTTTAAGTACTTTCTAAATAGTCAATTACTTACTTACTTAGTTAAGTAGTCAATTACATAGAGAAATGCATACTGATTTCGTTTAGATTATATCATATTCCAAAAACTGTATTGCAAAGGCTAGAGCTAACCACCTTGGAAACCCCCAAGTCTTTACAAAGAGAGTATTTCACTCAATTCCCCTCCCCCTTACCACCATTAGCATGGTGACAAGATACTTCAACTTGGCCTGGATGATTCTAAAACAGCTAATTAAAACAAAGTTCTCTTAGAATGTACCAGTTGATTTTTCTTTTTCTTTCTAGGTGTCACATAATTTTTCAGCTGGTTCTGCTTCATGACAATAACACCTTCACCAGCAAATTATTTTTATAATGAGAAATTACCAAAGTATTTCTGGATGCAGTGGAAGAACCTGTTTACACAAGTTATTTTACTATTTAATGTTTATATTGACACCAAACAGTAAGAGTCAAGTTAATCACATACACTATTTCCAAAATATATAAAGAACTCATAGAACTGAACACCAAAAAAACGAACAACCCAATCAAAAAACGGGCAGAGGATATGAACAGACATTTTTCCAAAGAAGATATACAGATAGCCAATAGGCACGTGAAAAGATGTTCAACATCACTAATTATTAGGAAAATGTAAGGCAAAACTACAATGAAATATCACCTTATGGCTGTCAGAATGGCTATAATTAACAAGAAATAACAAGTGTTGGAGAGAAGGTAGAGAAAAGGGAACTCTCACAAACTGCTGGTGGGAGTGCAAACTGGTGCAGCCACTATGGAAAACAGTATGGAGATTTCTCAAAAAATTAAAAATAGAAATACCATATGACCCAGCTATCCCACTACTGGATATTATCCAAAGAACTTGAAAACACTAATTCAAAAAGATATATGCAGCCCTATGTTCACTACAGCCTTATTCACAATATGCAAAACTTGGAAGCAACCCAAGTGCCCATGAAGGGACAAATGGATAAAGATGATGTGGTGTATATATATACAATGGACTACTCCTCCATAAAAACTGACGAAATTGTGTCATTTTCGACATCATGGATGGACCTCGAGGGTACTGTATTATGCTAAGCGAAGTAAGTCAGAGAAAGACAAATACTGTATGATTTCACTCATATGGAGAAGATAAACACATACACAGGTACAGAGAACAGACTGGTGGTTACCACAGTGGAAGGGGGTGGAGGAGGGTGAAAGGGCTAAAGGGGCACATATGTATGGTGACAGACGGAAACAAGACTTTTCATGGTGAACATGATGCAGTTTATACAGAAGCTGAAATCATGTACACTTGAAATTTACACTTATAAACCAATGTGACCCCAATTAAAAAAAAATTTTTTGATCATATACAATAATATCTCAATTTTTTTCCTCTGGTGAAATGTTATAATAGGTTCAACACAATGCTCTGTGGGGAAAATCAAATACAAAATAATATGAATCGATGATTAACAGGAACTTAAACTCAGTATCATAACCTTCATACAGAAATTTATTCAAAAAGTCACTTAAAAATTATAGCTCAGAAGGTCAAGGTGGCAAATGAGTAGTTCTTTTACTTAAATCCTTTAGAAACACTCAGAAAAATTCTTACCTTTTCAGGAAAATTATTTTCAGTTACTTGTGAAGGAGAAACATTTGGTTCTCGATAAATTATAAAATCTTTCCTGAAAATAACATTTAGAAATTACTTCTGACAGAATACATTTCATGAATTGAGATTTAATAGTTCATTAATTCATTCATCACAAGTCTGGCATGTGCCAAGCAATGTTCTAGGCAGTGGAGGTAGAGCAACAAACAAAAGATAGTAATGGAACACCTAAGTTGCAAAATACTACATACAAGTATCTTTTAAAAAAATAAACTTTCAAATGTAACTTCATATACAATTCTAAAAGGAGACCTCAAGGCACAGAAATTGTAAAGATGAAATTTATTTACATTTCCAAAAGAAAAAATAAAGCATTAGCCTCCTCCTCTCTTGGGCAACAGCAGTAAAATTGATAATACGGTACTTTGCCTCTCTTCCAGTGGCCATTCAATGCTACTGGCCCTGAGAAAGTAGGAAATCATTTCTCTACAAGGTTGATAAGTGATATAGTTTACAAGCCTGGAAAAATTTCTGTACTCCTTTCCAAAAATATTTTAAGACCTACAGCTTCTAAATGTTGACATATCTAAATGTCAAAATCTAAACGATGCAATTAAAAACGCAAAACCTTAGAAAAGATGCTTCACAACCAAGGCATATAATTGCTTTCTACTTTAACAGTTTTAGTACAACAGAATATACTAATTTCCCACTGATTTTATTTTTGTTTACTTATGTTATCACTGTTTACCTGTACATAAGAGAAAGGGCACTTATTTCCACTTGTCCAACCCATTCCTGTATTGAAGAAAAAATAGTTGGCACGTAAGTGTCTCATACTTTTTACAATATACCTCTATACAGTACATTAATACGTACCTTTACACATTATACCCAGTGAACTAGAAAAGCTCAATAATACTATTAGTATTGTGAATACTATAAAAACATTTTATAAAACAGGATATAATATACACTAAAAAGCTGCCCAGGGGCCGGACCCCATGACCAAGTGGTTAAGTTGCGTGCTCCGCTGCAGCAGCCCAGGCTTTCGCCAGTTCGGATCCAGGGCACAGACATGGCACCGCTCATCAAGCCATGCTGAGGCGGCACCCCACATGCCACAACTAGAAGGACCCACAACTAAAAATATGCAACTATGTACTGAGGGACTTTGGGGAGAAAAAGGAAAAATAAAATCTTTCAAAAAAGAAACACAAAAAGCAAAGCTGCCCAACTCTCTGTTGCAAAAGTCCTCAGTAACAGTGTGGAATGACAGTGCCTACTGGTGGCAAGACCATGGAGTGGTATCTCTAAGTTGACAAAGTGTTGAAGGCAAGGGCTCTGTACTCCAACCTAGCACCCAGGACAGAGCCTGGACATGGTATGTACCCAGAAAATGAGACGTTCAACAGAAGCAGAACTCAGTAATCAGAAAGGATAAAAAAGGGCAGAAGGTCTCTTATCTTCAGGGAGACTGAAGGTATAAAGAGAGCAGAGTCCCAGCAAATGTTTTGAAATGAGGTAGAAATTCTAACAGTCCTAAAGGAGTCACTTTAAGTCTTTAAGTTTTTTAGAAGGAAATGGCCAGTATATATCAAAATTTAAAATATCCATATAGGGGCCGGCCCGGTGGCACAGTGGTTAAGTGTGTACATTCTGCTTCAGTGGCCCAGGGTTCCCTGGTTCGGATCCTGGGTGCGGACACGGCACTGCTTGGCAAGCTGTGATATGGAAGGCATCCCACGTATAAAGTAGAGGAAGATGGGCATGGATGTTAGCTCAGGGCCAGCCTTCCTCACCAAAAAGACGAGGTTTGGCAGCAGATGTTAGCTCAGGACTCATCTTTCTCAAAAAGAAATCCATATATCTTTGACCCAGCAATTCAATTTCTATAAATCTATCCTAAAGAAGTATTTCATCTGTCCACAAAAAGGTATATAAACAAGGATGCTCACTGTAGCTATTTGTAATAGTTAAAAAAAATTTTTTTTTAAAGAAAGCCCCAAGATGGCTGGCCCACTGGCATAGTGATTAAGTTCAAGTGTTCTGCTTCAACAGCAGTGGGTTTGCAGGTTCGGATCCCCAGCATGGACCTACACACTGCTCATCAAGCCATGCTGAGGTGGCGTCCCATATACAAAGTAGAGGAAGACTGGCACAGATGTTAGCTCAGGGACCATCTTCCTCACCAGAAAAAAAAGAAAGCCCCAAGATCCCACTAATAGGCAAGAAATAGTTAAATAATTTATGGTTCGTCTACACTATGTATGGAATACCATGCAATCATTAAAAAGAACGAGGTATACCCACACAAACTGATCAGATTATTAAGTGTAAAAGGTAAGTCACAGTAAAATAATCGTATTGTATAAAACAAACAGAAAGGTATGTTCAATACATATGCATATGTACATAGAAAGAGGACTATAAGAACACATCCTAAATTGACAGTGGAGACAGGGAATTCAAGATGAGGGAAAATGAAGGATATTCACTCTTCATTCTGTATTAAATCTTTTTACCATGAGAATATATTCGTATACTACCTGTGAAATTAGTAAAGACAATACCAACAGTCACTAAAAATAATGAGCTATGGTAAATGAATACTGCTGCTTTTTCCTTGAAATTTGAGAATAAAAGATTTTAGACAATGTTTTGATCTCAGACAAGGAAAATCTTTCCCTCAGAGACTTTCCATTTTAATAGTTCTTAAAAGTTGGCTCTGGTTTTCAAAATGAAATGAGTGCCATATATTAAAATAGATTTCTTAAAATAGGCATCTGCCGAACAATCCTAGCTTCCCATGAACTGTTACAAGCGACACCCTCTGCTCTAGAGGAAATCCTTCACTGAACCCGGTCTGCTGAGATCACAAACACAAGCTACATCTACTTTTCTGCAAAATGTGTTACATCACTTTGAAAAATGGAAAATTATTCTACTAGTGTCAACAAAATACTGCCTCTCAAATAATGTACCTTTTTTTTTTTAACGATTGGCACCTGAGCTAACATCTGCTGCCAATCTTTTTTATTTTCTTCTCCTTCTCCCCACAGCGCCCCAGTACATAGTTGCATATTCTAGTTGTAGGTCCTTCTGGGTGTGCTATGTGAGACGCTGCCTCAGCATGGCCTGATGAGTGGTGCCATGTCCGTGCCCAGGATCCAAACTGGTGACACCCTGGGCCGCTGAAGCAGGGTGTGCAAACTTAACTACCTGGCCACAGGGCTGGCCCCTAATGTACCATTTAATAAGTATTTAATCTTCAGGATAAATTCTGTAGTAGTCTGGTTAAGAAAACAATGGCTATCATAATTATCTTCTTGTCTTCTCTAACCCCCGTTTTAAATTATAAAAAAAAAAAATCTAAGTTCTACCATTGTTCTACCTTAAGGCTACAATTTTATTCACTCAGCACTTTTTACAGTGTTTGATGTACTTTCTTATTGTGTGTGAGAGTAAAGCATTTTTGCAAAACCTGTTTTAACTGATGAACTACAGTCTATCAAGAACAATTTAAATGTTCTTAGTCATCAACAGCAAACTTTTGTTCCTCAAAAGACACTATTAAGAAAATGAAAAGTCAAGACACTAATTGGAAGAAAATATTTGCAAAATATATATCCAATACGGAACTTATATCCAGTATAAAGAACTCTTATAATTCAATAAAACCAACATCATAAAAAATGGGCAAAATCTATAAAGAGACGTTTCACCAACAAAGGTATATGGATGGCAAATAAGCACATGAAAAGATGCTCAACAGTATTAGAGAAATGCAAGTTAAAATCACAATGGGATACCACTGCACAACTGCTAAAATAGCTGCCATTTAATAAGCTAACAGTATCGAGTGTCAACAAAGATGCAGAGCAATTAGAATTCTCACATATCGCTGAGAAAGCAAAATGGCAGAGCCACTTTGGAAAACAGTTTGGCAGTTTCTCATTAAGTTAAACATACATTTACCATATGACCCAACAATTCCACTCCTAGGTATTAATCCAAGGGAAAAGAAGACATATGTCCACACAAAGACTTAGAAGCAAATGTTCTTAGCAGCTTTAATCATAACAGCCCCAAACTGGAAAGAACCCAAATATCCATCAAATGGTAAATGGATAAACAAATTGTAGTACATGCATACAATGAACGACAACTCAGTAATAAAAATGAACTAACTACTGCTACCACAACAACATGGAAGAATCTCCAAGTGTTTCCGTTACGCTAAGTGAAAGAAGCCAGACACAAAAGACTACAAACTATATCATTCCGTGAATATGAGTCTAGAAAAGTCAAAACTTAGGAAGCAGATCAGTGGTTGCCAAGAGCTAGGGGGTGGGGGAAGGAGATTAAGTGCAAAAGGGCATGAGGAACTTTTTGGAGAGATGGAAATATCCTATATGGTGTTTGCGGTGGTGGTTACACAACTGTACACACTTGTCAAATCTTATCAAATTACACACTTAAAATTGGTGAATTTTACTATATGACAATTTTACCTCAGGAAAGCTGACAAAAACATATTCTTGCAAAAGTCTGAGGCACTTTTCAAAATGTTCCACTGATATTTTAAGTAAAAGGATAAAGATGCTTTTTCTTGAGAACTGGATGAAGCAATGGAATTTATCCATCAACCGTATTTCTCTTTCCATTTCATACATCCCATATATCAGAGAGAAGAAACGAATGAAGACAAAAATATTGATGCTAACAACGAAGAATGAAACTGTTCAGAAGGTTTGATCAGACTGGGGAAGGGATTGTCAAAAGAATAAAAAATCTGGCCAGCCAGCATCCTAGGAAGGAGGGACCTGTCCCACGTGCTCAAAATCACAGCACCTCTCCCTCCTTCCTCTCCGCACCTCCCCAGTCAGTCTCAGTTCAGTTCACACCACCTCACTTCCTCCCTGTCCCCTTCTCTCCACTCCCATTATGTCTGCCCTTTCTCAGCCTGAACTGCTGCACAAGATCACCACAAAATAACATCCTGGGGTTTTTTTCTGATTAAAAAATTAATAAATGGTTTTTGTCACTGCCTTTATTTTCCACAAAGGAAGTAAAAATCAGCAGTAACATTACTGCCTAGAGATAACAACTCTGAACATTCCGGTTAACATTCTCTTAACATATAATGCAATGTGGATTTAACATTTACTCAGCACACACAAAGTGATCATCAATTAGGCACCCCAAATTGAAACGTAACGATGGAATTCCAAAAGCAATAAAATATCCAATTCCTGCTTTCAAAGAGGGTTATAAACTGAGAGGAAAAAAACATAAACTTCAGGAAAATGAATTTGTGACCATCATACATGGGCAAAACTCAGTATCAAAATCACTGAAATAAAAATGTAGTCAGGAGCAGATTTAGAGAAAAGGCCTTCAGAGGGTATCTGTCTCTAAAACTGGAGTAATAATATACTATCCCATTTTTTTACACTTAATAGTGTGCAAATTTTTCCATGTATAAAACAAATTTTTTTCTTCTTTTTCTTTTTTTTTTTTTGCTGAGGAAGATTTGCCCTGAGCTAACCACCACCATCAATCTTCCTCTTCTTGTATGTGAGCTGCTGCCACAGCATGGTCACTGATAGGCAAGTGGTGTAGGTCTGCACCTGGGAAGTGAACCTGGGCCACCAAAGTGGAACGCACCAAACTTAACCACTAAGTAAATAGGGCTGGCCCTAAACAATTTTTTTTTACACCATTGCAATTGGTCCTCCTGCCTCTAGTCTCATCTACCTCCAAACCATTTTTACACAATGTTCTTCCACCTACTTATTCGGACTGAACAAAAATGCCAGGCATTATTCTCAGTTCACAGCAGTGAACAAAACACACTCACTTCCTGCCTCAGAAAAATTGAAAGGCATCCCAATGCCAGATTCCCAGGCCCCAGGCACAGAGACTTTGAATCAGGCCTGGAATAGAGGCCAGGGAATCTGCATTTCTACAACCACCTCAGGTGATTCTGATGCAGGTGATGTGTAGCTCAAACTGCGAGAAACGCAGGCCTAAAGTATAAACTCAAAACTACTGAGCCCAGCATGGAGGGCTCTCCCATGATCTGGCTCAGCCTGCCCTGACTTATTTCTCACAACGTCCTACCTTCACATGCTCTATATGAACTGAACTGCTTTCTGAATCTGCCTAGCTTAATTTTCACTACCTGGAAATGCCCTTCACCCCATGCATTTCTTATTCAGAATCTATTCAGACTTCAAATGCCAACTCACCGTCCAACTCCAGCTTTGCCTCCAGCTAGAAATAAAACTTGGAATGCCTACAGCATCATATCTATAATTCTTATGACATATGCACTTTCTCACTTATGTTAGATATTCTTCCCTACTACAGGGAAGCTCCTGAGAACTGCATCCAAATCCCGGTTCCCTCTGCATGCCCAGGGTGCCTGGCAACTCCTGGCCCACAATACCCACTCAAATTAGCATTAGGGACTCAAGCGGCGGCACCGACTGCTGACCAAGAACCCTGTCCCTCTGTTGTTATTCCCCTTCCTCTCTACCCGACTCCTCTTCTTACCTTCTCCCTTTGGTAATGTTATTTTAAACTTAACAGTGATTATCTCTGGGGATGATGGGACATTCTACAGAGCATTCTACATGGCATTCCATATTTGGATTTTTACAGGGACAACATAAGTTTTGTAAACAGGAAAAAAAAAGACAGAATAATTCTTTTAAACTTCTACACGACTGAGAAAGTGTGGCAGTGGGAGTTGGCGGGGAAATGCTGTTCTTTTACTCTCAAGTCTCTTCTTGCTTCTCAAGCTGATTACAGGAAATGGAACCTCCTTAAAGGAACCTGTCTTTCTCAGCTGCCTGAGGAGGCAATCAAATCTTGCCCTGTCTGCTAAGCCCCATATACATACCAACACAGCATCCTGAAAACCACCACCAGTGTTATTTTAGGTCTTTTATGCTACATTCACATGCTATGACAAAGATAAAGATAGCACACTCTGTCCTTAGTGAGGCAACATCCCCAGTGCACAGTACACAGCTCCAACTGTCTTCCAACTAAATGTTGCATAAAGTGTGCACCTAAGAAAGGTTTATAAGAAAACAGGGTAACTCATAGTGTATGTAACCCCTCCATACACTGTAATATTAATATTACTTTCTAATGAATTGTGAGTACATTATGCGAATATCTAAAAAATAGAAATGAGAAGATTACTACATACCTGTGGATTTTCCAAACGTTTTAAATACTCTTCAAATGACCCTTCTATAAACTGGGGGAAAAAAGAGTTTATTAGGAATACATCAAAACACCAGTTAACCTCTTCACTGTGAATTACTGAGCTCTCATACAAACCCTGGATACATTAATAATAGTAAAAAATATGTATATAATCTAATAATGACAATATATACAAATCATTAAGTAAAGATCAGAAAAACACAAGAGTTTAGAGAAGGAAACACTGTCCGGAAAGGCTTCCTGGACAGCATCTGGATGGGTACAGGGACAATGTGGCATGAGGAGGCAGCAAGAGCACTGTGTTGGGAAGACAGGCTCGACAGGACCAGCAGGAACAGGGCAACTTGGTGGGGAGAGCAAAGTGACAGCAATTCGAACTCAGCTGGACACCTGTTTATGGAGGACCTTGAGTCCAGGTAGGACTTTCAACTGAGGGAAAAGGCAATCCAAGGTCACTGTAAGTGACATTAAGAACAGAACATGATAAAAACAGCACTTTAAGATTAACTTGGTAACAACCAATGCATAGAGGAGAATTAAACAAAGACAGATACACCAGCTGAGAAATATTAGTTTACCAATACAGATATGAATATTCATTGTCTCTTAGGTCAGTTATACTAAAGAGATGAGAACCAATAATGCTAAAGATATTTTGAAGAGGAATCAACAGATTTTTCTAATATAGCTTGCTTCTTTGTTACTTTAACATAAAAATAAAATTGAGTTTACTGAATCTATGTGATAACGTTTTTTGCTGTTCTCATAGTGATTGCACTAATTTACTTGACAAAGTTCTAAAAGACATTCATCTGAAATACCAAATTCAATTTTATTTAAATTACAGTCCCAGTTAATTTAGCAAAGTGATAACTTAAAAACATTAAAGTACACTCCCCAATCTATAAAAATCTTTTAATTGCCCAAGGTTTTTAAGATTGAGATTAATTCCTTTATCGATTGTATACTATCAAATTTCCAAAAAGTACCTTACATTTCAACATATATAACACTTACTTCTAGTAAAATAACCATACAGTTTAAATATCCCACCAATCAGAGGCTACTGTTCTGTATTAGGTGATTATTTATAGACTTAAGAAAAAACAAAACCACCCAGAGAACCATTTAAAGTTGGAAGAGAACCATTTAAAGTTGGAAGAGACCCAGGTAGTGTTCTGACACAGCAGGCATCCAAACTGAGATCTCCTTTCTAATCAGAAAGTACCATCCAGGCCCTGACTAACATGGTCCTAACAAGGCACAGCCCATCTTCCCAGGACAGCCTCTTCCAATTCTAGCCAATAGAAACTGTTAGAGGTACTTACTATAAGGAAAGTGAAACTTCCCCACTGAACTGTCCACCTTTGATCATCCCTTCTAAGATGGTCAGGGCTCAACATACGCAAAGCACTTCAAACAGCGCCCGGCACACAGCTGGCACTCAAGCAATGTGAGCAACTTCCATTACTGTCAACAGGATTTTACCCTCTGGGGCCAATAATAATGATTAATTCACTTGAAATTTCTTCAAATACCTAAAGACCTCTCCACTTCCTCCTCTCTTCACCACCACACCCTAATACTCTCTTATCTAGCCTCCACATTACCACTTTCTTTTTAATTAGACAAGTTTTCGAATCTCCTGCAGGTCACTCTCCTTCCTGGAATATATTACTGTCCACCTTATAACACGGCACCAAGAAAAATGTCACCATAATAGTATTTCGCTTGGATATAGGAACATTAACCCAAGAGCACATCCAAACTAAGAACTATTTACCTATTAAGTCTTAAAATTGAGTCATTTGCAAAGTATCACTGTTCTTTTGGCCGTCAACAGGGAAAAACACTACTGAAAGTTGTCAGATGACATAATTCTAATTCATACAACCAATAACTAGTAAATCCTATAAGGCTTTCAAAGTAAAATGAAAATAGGTCACTGTGGCATCTTATTTCACAGCCTACTGCATACTACTAAGAAAATTACAGTGAGCTGTTATACAACATTCTGTTAACTATTAATCATTATTTACATAATTAGCATTCTGATAATGTGATTCATATCATCACAATGATGAACCCTGAAAATTAAAAATCTACAAATTCCTTCTGATAAAATTAAAGGCTCAGTATTAACTATGCTCAGCATATTTCTTATACCCCAAGTCTGAAATTTTTTAAATTCATAGCAGGTTACCAACCACAGAAAACTCTATTAACCACAACACTTAATTCCATGTCAGACAAGGCTCACTCTTAATACGCAAGGATCCTGCACAAGTCATCTTCTCATTCCCCACAGCTCAGCGTCTTTTCCATCATAGAAGTTTTCTAAATGTCAGAATAAATGAATTCAACAAAATGGCCTAAAAATATCACAATTGGATTTAAATTCAATAAAGCAATTCCTTCTTATAAAAAAGGTTATTTTTCATAACCTGCACGAAGATCCAGCCTGTGAAATCCCACCAGACCACTTCTAAAGGCTGAAATGTAAATGCAAGTCAGGACACCATTTCATGTTTAAAATTACAAATTACCGCTTCAAATTTCTCTCTGTTCTCTCGAAGATAGTGAATACAGGCCATTCTGACTTCAACATGGCGAGACTGAGAGTGCAAGACCTGAAAAGGAAAAGCAACACACTCTTAATAAGCATTGTGTTAAGAGGATTTAAGTTACGACTGAGTGCCTTCTTTCACGCCCAAAATAACCTCACAACCAATAGACATCAGGTTCCCTCCGGTTCCCGTTCTATACTTTCTAGATCTTTCTTCATTCCCACCTCTTCCTCTAAGCACACAGATGATACCACATATATAAACAGTAGTACTTATTAAGCCCAATGCCATTCTATAAAGAGCTTGCTACCATTTCTCCTTTAGGTCAATGGACTCACTCCTTTGTACACTTAAGACACTCCTCTCCTGGCCAGCCCTCCACTATAACTTTGCTCTTCACAAACCTGGGCTAACAGAATCTCTGCTACACAGTGCTTAGCTTCAGCCTATGCTTGTTGGAAAAGCGAACAAAGAGGCAACTTCAGCTGGAATCCTTGTTGAGGCTTTAAGCCTGAAAAAGATAGATTTATTTTTCCCAAAAATTTCTACGTGAGGCAAGTAATTGAAAATTAAAGTCCACCAAGGTTTCACAAAAATTAAGCCGCACATTCTTAAAATCCTTAGCTGTCAGGCCTACAGGACTCTTGAAAGAACATCCCAGTGTGCAGGACACAGGATGCAAACGTGCTGCTGTGGGCTGTCATCCCAATAGCCTTGAAACTTGCTCTTATGCCCAAAATCTAAAAGTCCACATGAAATAAGCCACACTACAAAGATGATGCAAATCTCACTTCGTAGCCTCTGTGTTCTTCTGTTAAACAACTAGTTCAACAGAAGGAATAACTAATTGGCATTTTGTCTCTTACTAAAATTCTAAAGCTTTGATTTGAAACAAACTAATATTATCAAATGCTTAGGAACCCTTTGGCCAGCACACAATATTTTAACCACCATGCTTAAAGGAGGAGACATATTATTTCCTATTACTAGCTGTTTCAAACGAAGGTGTTCCTGGTACCCTAAAGGGTTATGGTGGGGAAAAAATATCTGACACATTTAAAATAACTACATGTCAAACTACTATCAGGGCCTCCTGAGAATTTATATTAATATAAATAGCTTTAAGAGTTACAGCTCCAATTGAATGATTCTCCCTTATGCTCAGGGTGAGCAGAGAATCCAGCTGCACACTTTACAGGTCTCTCTGAACAGCCAAGGCTCATTTATACCCACAGAACCAGAAGTACAACTGTCTAGACAGCTAGTATGTCCCTTTACATTGAGATGCACTGAAGATGCACCAGCTGAGGTCAGCAACTGGGACACTGCTGTCTTGGGAACTCTTAAACAGCATCCTTACATATTCTAAGCTTCCAGCACTGGAAAGACTATCCATAGGTAAAAATTACCACCACATGATTTTTTTTTGCCAATTCAGCAAAGGACATTTAGCTACACTTCTTTCACAGAAGCTGTTAGACACTACTATGAATCAAGGTATTATTAGTTTGAGTAAACCACAGTGTCATCTGATACAGCAGCGGTTAGCAAAGTGAAGCTAGTCTTAAAGCCATTTACCTAGCAACAGCTGGGAGACATAACTGAATAAAGCTTATTTTCCATCAAAAACAATGGCAGGGATATCTCTTGTTTTTTCCTCTTTTAACAAAGATTTTATAGCACATGAAATCTGAACCTGTTCGAAGCAGCAATTTCCATAAACTGTAGGGTGCTGGTATTTACAAAGCCAAGCACTGCAAGAGAAGTAGGTTAAATGACAACTGTTTAAAAAGTATAATACAGTGCAAGCTCAAGGATATTCGGGGAAGAATTCAAATGGTATGACAAATATCTCTGCAAATTATTATGGACACGAAAATAAGCTAGAAACAGGAGGCTTTCCAATCCTGACTTGGGACAAGACAGTGACAAACACTAGGAAAGGCTGAGCCACTGCTGCAGCAAGTCTGCTAAGAGCGCCCTATTTTTAGCTCCATGGCCCCAGAGCTGATTGAGGTCAGGCCTCCTGCAGGCCCAAGTCGAGAAGTGTAAAAAGGGAAGGACCTACCTAAATCAGGTAATTTGGAGGGAAAGGCTGGTCCTAATTCAAGTCTCTCCCTCCCCGCTCCGCCCCCAACACTACCCTTTAGATTACTTACTCTGACTCCTTCTTAGAAATGATCAATTATTTTGATATTTTTGGAGAAATCTGGCAAAAAAGTAAATCCTCTGCAGATTTTTAAAGGGCAGCCTGAAGTTGGTGTTACTTCCCTTCCCCATGCACACACTTTCCCTTTGGCCATGAAGCCACACCTTTCGTCCATGCCTAGTAAAGAACTGAGCTTCCCCTAAAATTCATGGTATGAAGCTTTCTAAGCTCAGTAGGCTAAAAACCAGTGTCACATAATTGGAGAGGATATTCCCTCAGGCCTAAATTAAATCCCGTTACAAGACACAACCAACTGCAGGATCTGAATGTTAGCAATGAGTTAACGCAACTAGCTCTTGCCCCTTTCCCCTTAAAAATAGAGATCCCACCACAGTAATAGAGAGGCTTCTGTAATAATCAAGCTTACCAATTAACCATGGCACCTAAGACTGAAATCAGATACCCGTTCCGCTTCAATATAAACTAGGCTCTGGATAATCCAACTCCAAATAAGCATCATACTTCCCTTATTTCTATTTGTTTCTACCTCCTTCCTCACCGAACTCTTGCTAGAGCTAACAGTACGCATAAATAGGAACTGAATTCACTTCCACCTCTTCCCTCTGCTTCTGGAGCTGCTCTGGAGTCCAGGGAGCCTGAGGCAAAGGAAGCAGGACAGATGGAGACCCGGAAAATTCAGAAACGGGACAGAATGTTTACCTACTACTAATAGTAAAGACTGGGGTGGGTGGGTGTGAATATATCCCACAGCAACACAAGAACATCCAAAATTTCTGCTATAAAAGAAACCTAATAAACTGAAAAAAGACCGAGCTTAACATGGGGAGCTTTACGAAAGCTGTTTGAATGACAATGCCTGCAGCATAATACAAAGGTTTGTATCAGCTGAATCAATTTCTTGTTTAAAAAAAAGATTTTATGCTACTGATGTGAAAACGAGGGCCTTTGGGAAATGGGTAACCTTCCAACGTTGAAAAAAATGAGAATAGACTGGTCTGAAGATGTTAAGTAAAACATTTACTCACAAATAGAAATTTTGAAAGCTATTTAGCATTCAAAAAAGTCGAGAAAAACAGAAACATAAAAACTCCACGGGAGGGGAGGGGAGGGAAGGGGTGGAGAGGGAAGGAGTGGATCTTAAGCCAAAGGAAAGCAAACTGTGAAAGGTATGAAAATACACACCAAGGCAGTAATGTGAAACTTTTAACCAACTATTTCACCAGCTATTTTTCAATATAGGATGGGTTTTGGTGACTGCATACCTACCAACCAGATTGTTAAAACATGGAATAAGCTCTTTTACCAACAAAACCAGAAACACCTTCCTAAACAACTGTATTAGAAAGCGATTTTGACCATTCACAGAGAAAAATTCAGTCAAGAAGGGCCCAGAGAACCCCCAGTTATATCCTTCCCACTATCGACACCAAAATAGAGTTTCTTAAAAAATAAATTATTTTTAGCATAACCTACACTGTCTTGCAAAGCATAATTAAGTATGGAATGTACTCAAATACAATTCTTTAAAACATTCTGTATTTTTAAAAGTCTGGCTTTCCCAAACGGCACATTTTTCCCCACTTGACTCAAGCGGACATCGGCGGGCTTAACCCCACATTCCCAAGTCCAGGAACAGGAAAAATAATGCTCCACGAGGACAGGCTGGCGCACCACCTCCTCCAGTAAACACTGGTGGAGTGGTATGAACGCTGGGCTGACAAAACGAAGAGAAGGTGAATGCGGAACAGAATGGAAAAAGATCATTTCGCCAAGTCCGCGGCCACCCATCAACTGCACCCGCTCTCAGCAGGCCTCCCGGGTTACCCTCGACTCACTACCTCTCCCCGAGGAGGGGCGACACCCGGTTAATGGACGGGCTCGTAAGTTTCGATTTACTGCTCCCAGACCCAGGGCAGCGTCCCGTTCCGGCGTTACAATGGGCCGCTGTGACGCCAGCGGGGCCACGCGCGGCCCGGACGTGGGCGGCCGGACGGCGGCCCGCCAGCCGCTCTCCCACCCAGCCCCGCCCGCCCCTCGCCCCTCGCCCCTCGCCCCGTTACCTGCTCCGCCACGGCCCGGAACAGACACGACCCGTCCTTGGCGACCAGTTTCCGATACAAGCCCAGCTTCCGCAGATAGGCATCCATGGGCGTCGCGTCCTCGCGGGGCCCCGCGCCGCCCTGCTCCCCGCCGTCGGAGGCGCCGACGGCCGCCTCCATGTTGCCGCTCCTGCTGCAGGCCAGGCGCGGCGCGGGCTAGCCCCACATGGCCGCGCCGCCGGCTCCTCGACGCCCCGGCCTAGGGCGGGCGGCGGCTCGGGCTCGGGCTCGGGCTCGGGCTCGGCGGGCGGCGGCAGGCGGCGGCAGCAGCGGCCCGAGGCGGCGGTCGGCGCTCTCCGCGCGCATAGGGGAGCCCTGCCTAATGCATGGCCGTGCGCACGCGGCCGCCTCCCGGGGGACCACGCGCCCAGGGCAACGGGGGGAAAATCAAAGAAACCCGGCGCGTGAGCAGTCACTTCCCCGTGGCCTCGCCGCCCGGCTCAGGAACTGGGCCGGGGGTCGCCGCCCCCACAAGTTTCCTCGTCCAGACGAGGGGGGAGGCGAGGAAACCTCCGCCGCGCGCGCGGGGCCGACTCAGGTGAGCGCGGCCTGCGTCCCCCGCGCGCTCCCCAGCTCGGGAGCCGAGGAAGCCCAAAGAGAAAGCCGCAGCCTTTCGTTTCCCCACCTCGCAGGAGGGCGCCGGAGGGGCGGGGTGCGGGGGGCGCCGGCGGAGGGCAGCACCCTCGCAGCCCAGAATTTGTTTTCGCTTTCGGCCCGACAGCAGAGAGGACGGCGGGAGGTGTAGTTTGGGCAGCGGCAGGAAGTCGGCCTGCGGCGGGCGGGGACACGCGGGCCAGCCTACCGGGGGAGGTGCCCGGGAGGCACGCGGACTACAAGTCCCTACAGCGCGCGCCGCCGCCGCCCGGAGCCGGCTTCGCGCTTCCCGGGCACCGCGTCCGCGAGCAGGCCGAGGGTCTCCGCCAGCCGCGAGCCGCCACGCGCAGACCTTCGCGCGCCGCCGCGCCCGCCTGCCGGCCCGGCCACCCACTGCGCCGCGGGGCCGCGGGGCGTGCGCGCGCGCTGCGTGGGTGGAGTTGCCAGGGACACAGAGGCGGCGAGGTCGGCCCTTTGTGTATTCCCAAACAGAGGGCGCACCTGTCTGCTCCCCTCCCCCCGGCCTCCTCTCCGGGCGTTTCCATGGAGGTGGCTTTAACGGCTTAAGCAGAAAATAGAGCTAATTGGCGAAGGCTCCTGGAACTGGCCCCGTGCAGGACGACGCAGGCTGTCCATAAATCAACCGTGGACTGCTGATTCCTATTGGAAATTAGAAGTACAGATCACGCGCTATGGCAAGATGATGCCTTTACCACAGACATTTTTGTTCACCCTGCCCCTGTAGTTGCGCACCCCAGCACAAAGAGATGTCGCTGGTCGGAAAAAGTTAGGTTTTTTTTTTTTCCTTGAAAAAATTCATCTTGTGATTGCTTGATAACGTGCTGGACTTGCCGTGGGTTCCCAGCAATGCTCGAAGCTTGCAGCTCCACTTCCCACCTTTCGAAGCTGAATGACAGTTATGCCTTCGAACCCAGAATTTATCCAGCATGTTTCTGTGACACCAGAATTTTATTTTGCTAAAATGCAACAGCATCTGGTGTCTTTACTTATATACATGGTTAATCATAAAATCCACTCCACTCTTGAGGGTCTGGGTGATGGGGGGTGGGGAGAAGAAGGGAAAAGTGGAGGATTATTAGATTTAGAAATGTAGTCAAATAAACTCTTTGGAATGGGGCAAGGCAGGCCAGATGGTGAGAGTCCAATGCGAATTGCTGAAAATTCTTTTAGAAATTTGTTTTTAGTACTTTGGGTGCAAGCACTTAATGGCTCGTGTATTCACTTGGTGCTTCTAAACTTAATTAATGTTTAAAGATTCTGTCTCCAATTGTGCTGTTTTCAGTGAATGCAGAAGTTACTGTGACCTAAATGAATTCTCTTGTCCCAGTATGAAATTTTATACATGTTGTAGAGAAACACTTTGGAATCATTGTTAGAAAAATCTAGTTTCAAGTCAAACCTGTTGCTTTTCTTTCTCTAAAAATATTTACATTGTATATACTTCTCATTCCACTCAAAAAGAATTACCCAGTATTGCCACTGCTTACAATATGGATTGCCCTTTTTTTATTTTCTTAACATGGTTTGCCTTTTAAACCCACAGAGGAATTAAAAGTAAAGTAATATCCAAACTGTAGAGCTTAAATATTGAATTCCTAAAATAAGTAGATCCTATAGTATTAATCTTATAAGCAACAGACTTTCTGATATGCCAAGAGAAAACCATGCCTTTCCTAACATTTATTTTAATATTCCTTCAATAAGAATTTCTGAAGCTAATCTCATATTCAATATGTATTTATGGGAAAGCTATTGAATATATCATGCTAAGATTGCGTTGCTGAATATCTTAAGGATATGTTAGAAACATATTTCCAGAGACTTCACATTTGAAAATTTATCAACCCCTGTTTTGTAATTGAACTGTTCATGATTATATTGCTTTAATTTTTTTAAAAGTCATTCAAATAAAAAGTTTTGCTCACTTTTATATGCACAGTAATTACATTTTGGGTGGCTAATAATGTTTTGGGTGTATTTTCTATTTTAAGGCTATTCATATTTTAATCTCATTTAAATGTGCTTATATATATTTTTTAATAAAGTAATATCACCATCTTGTAAAGCCCAAAAATTCCTTTGAAATACTTTGAAAAGAAAAGGAAACCAAATATATCATTAATTCTACAATGTCTTTATTTTCCATTGCAAAAATTTAATTCACGGGCAGTAGTATGATCAAAATAAGAATGGACATGATCATTTAAAGAAGTGTTCTAGTCCAGAACCAGACACTAGAGTCCACTTTCAGTATTTTTTAAATGAATGATTAAATACTAAGAAATCAGAGGCCTTTATCAGAATTCATCCAAATTCTATGTTTTCTTGTAATAATGTGGTTTGTTATCAGAAGTATTAGAAGAAAAACACATTTTCCAGTCTTTTCCATGCTTGATGCCTTGGCAGAATTACTTAGTGTCCTCACTCCTGCTGAATGAGTGCAGGACAGCCTCACGCTAAACTGACTGCTTCTGGTTCCAAAATTAGAAGTGAAACACCTGTTGTATCTGACCCTGAGCCTGTTTAAGGAAATCCTTTAGGTATTTTGAGACCTAATCCAAGGCAGACCCTCTGTATGCCAAATCCCCAAAGATAGCTCACTGTTCAGGCATTGTTAAAGGATGCTACAACTTTAAACTGCACCAAAACTTACAGAAGTTCCCTAACTTTCAAAAGATCTTTACTTATTAACTTGTGAAACTTTTCAAGAAACCATATCTGATTGAAAATGTTTGCTCTGAGGAAGCCATTTCTGAACAGCAATAGTGAAAAACTCTTTAAACAGACATTTTAATCAAATTAAACCTGAAACAGTCAATGTTTCTGAGAACCTAATGAAATTAATCGAGTTCATCTCATGCAAATATGTCAACTAACGATTTTTTCTTGTACACAGTTAATACCTCAAGTTTGTTTATTCTGACAAACTTTGGAGCTAATAATTGTACTGGATAGAATTTTTTTGTTTCAGAAAGTGATAGATTTTCTGGAGTGTTTTTCCAATAAAAGGCGAGATATTGTGGTAGGCAGCCTCTAAGATGGCCGCCACCAATCCCTGCTTTCTGGTATTCACACTCTTGTATAATCACTCCCACACTGTACCAAGTTTGGTCTGTGTGATCAATAGGATAGAGCAGTATGACAGTATGTCACTTCTGAAATTAGGTTATAAGAGACACTTCTGGCGTTTTGGTTGCTTTCTTACACTCCCTCTCTCAGGGTAACTCACTCTAGCGAAAGCTGGTTGCTGTGGGTCCTGAGCAGACTTATAAAGAGGGTTCTCGTGGTGGGGAACTGGAGCCTTCTGCCAGCAGCCATGTAAGTCAGCTTTGAAGCGAATCCTCTAGCCCACTCAAGCTTTCAGATGACTGCAGCCCTTGCTGAAATCTTGACTGTGACCTCATGGGAAACAATGAGCCAGAACCAACCAGCTAAGCTCTGAGATTCTTAATTCTGAGCTTCTGCAATTCTTGACCTCAGAAACTGTGTGAGATAATATGTTTATTGTTTTAAGCTCCTAAATTTTGGAATAATAAATTACACAGCAATCCGTAAGTAATACAAATATAATACTCCATTGTTTTTCTTTACTAGGTAGACATAGAATGTATTTCAATAATTCATGAAAATTTTTTTCTTAATTATAAACTCCTTTACGAAAATAGAGTAACCTAAGAATGTCTGGGCTTTATTGCCACATAGCGTTTTGGTTTGTTTTCTATAAAAATTCCAGTAACAGGGGTCAGTCCGGTGGTGTGGTGGTTGGGTTCACACACTGCACTTTGGCAGCCAAGGGTTCACGGGTTCAGATCCAGGGTGCAGACCTACACACCGCTCATTGGGCCATGCTGTGGCAGCGTCCCACATACAAAACAGAGGAGGATTGACACAGACGTTAGCTCAGGGCCAATCTTCCTCACCAAAAAAAAACAAAAACAAAAAAAAATTCAAGTAATTGAATCCTACAAAAAACCTATTTTATGAAGAAAGACCTATTTCTTTCAGATCCTATGTGTTAGAGACTACTACCTATCCTCCACTTCGCGTTTTATTTCTTCTGAATATTAGCTGAGTACATGGCCGTCCAGCTTTGGACCACATTTCCCAACCTACCTTGGAACTAAATATGGCCATGTGACTATTTTAGGGCAGTGGGATGTGTGCAGAATTGAGGAGTTTAACTTCCAGGGGTCATCTCCTTAAAGAGGAAGCCTCCTGCCTTCTACTCTCTTTCCTACATCCTAGGAGCTGGTTTGAAAACATGGTTGAAACTAAGCCAGCATTGATCATACAAAAAACAAACCCTAAGAGATAACAGAGCAAAGAGATGAAGGAACCAGGGGCCCTGAATGCTTCATGGCCTGTAAGGCTTACTCCACTCGCCCCTAGACTATTTTGTGAGAGAAAAATAAACTTATTTAACTAGCCATTTTTTTGTTTTTATTCTTGTTACAACTACTTAGTCTATGTATTCCAGCATATTTTTCTTCCAATATTAAATAGGTAGTAACATTTGGGGCCAAATAAAATTTATTTACAAAAGTTACTTCCTGAGTTGAACAGAACATAATTTTTTTTCTGAAAAGTTCAGAAATTTTTTTTTCTGAAAATGTGGGAATTGCAAATGTTAAAGGACTTCCAAAAAGGTTTTCTGATGTTTTCAAACAATAACTTTCTTCATCACTGATCCACATTCTCCTTTAGGTTCTACCTTGACACTGTTGATCACCTCCTCATTTTGAAACTCTCCTTGGCTTTATGAGTATGTCCATCTCAATATTTTGGCTACTTCTCCTTTGCTGGTTCCTTTTCTTTGCCCACCTCCGCCACCCCCATCTTCTAAACGTAGAGGTTCCTCAAGGCTCAAGCCTCAACCTTATTTAGTCCTATTCTCTTTTCCAAGCTTTAATCCACAACTCCAATCCATGCTGGGCATTTTGACCTAAACACATTTCTAAGAGTAAACTCATCTTCCTGTTAAAACCAATCCCCTCAAGTACACTAACACCAAGCATTTGTGTTTATGTAATAAGTACTAAAAAAATGATAAACACATATTAAATGATAAATCAAATGACAATGATAAATCATTTACTGTAATAGTTATCTCTTATTTTTGCTTGATCATCATTCATTCTCTGTGGACTAGATGAGAAAAATTAAGGAGTACATTATAACCAAAATAAATTGATAAAAACCAATTTTGTAAAAATGAGATAGTTTAAATGCTCAGGCAAAGTGAAAAAAGATTTGTCTTGGGGCCAGCCTCGTAGCGCAGTGGTTAAGTTCACACTTTCTGCTTTGGTGGCCCGGGGTTTGCCAGTTCACATCCTGGGTACG